TCCTTCCTTCCTTCCTTCCTTCCTTCCTTCCTTCCTTCCTTCCTTCCTTCCTTCCTTCCTTCCTTCCTTGGAGTTTCTATTAACTCCAATCCAGAGAGATTCTAAGCATCTCACATTCCTTTCTTTTAGTAAAAAGTCCAAAATATCAAAGCAATATCACTGATGAATAAACTATCAATAATAAAAAAAATTTCAAACAACAACAAAACACCTATGACTTCCTGAGAAGCAATAATAACCCAAACACAACCAAGGGAGGGAGCTTTATATTACGTTTAGCATGTTTTCTTCAGTATTATTTATACAAACATATATGCAGCTGCCATGTATCTTTAAAGCAATCCTCACAATACCCCTGCAGAGCTTTTCAGGAGGCTGCCTGATGACCACCTAATGAATTCCTGGCTCAGAATTTAATAGCTTTTATTCAGCTGCTGCCAGCGCTACTCTCTCTGTAGGTGAGAAGATTTAAGCTGGGTTATTTATTCTAGTGACTGGCTGAAAACGGCATTCTAAAAGAATTGTTTTACTACCGGTAGCGGAATGTTTCATCTTTCCACTTTGCCGGGACATAAAAACAAGCAAAAACCTGATAATTATTCAACTGATAGTTGCTATTTTCAGCCTTTCTTATTTTTGATGTCTTCCAGAAAAGAACTATACTTCCCGCACCTATATTGGCTGGTAATTTTGAATTGAAGTTCAACATTTCACACTAAGAAATGATTTCGCTGATTGTCTATGGAGATTCTCAATCATCCAAGTCATGGTTGTCCCAAACGTGCTTTTCCAAAAGGCAACTGGACTGTCTTATTTTTTTTTCTTCCTTGAAAATGTTTTGCTTCTCATCCAAGAAGCTTCTTCAGTTCTGGAGAAACTGAAGAAGCTTCTTGGGTGAGAAGTGAAATGTTTTCAAGGAAAAAAAACCAAGAAAATCCAGTTGCCTCTTGGAAAAGCACCTTTAGGATTTAGTGGATTATTTCTGCCTTGGTCACCTCTGCATCTTCATTTTTTTTTTTTTACCTCTCACAATAAACTCCTGTCCGTCAACCCTGGATTCGCCTTTGGGCTTCTGTAGGAGAGAGATCCAGTGGTGCATCTCTTCAGGGATGTCACTGTTGCAATGAATGACTCTATTTGCCGTGATGATCACAAAGGAATTTGGCCTGCAAAGTAGAAGGAAGGTGCTTCATCTCCTCCTTGCCATAGGAAGCTTGCCGTACTCACCTGTTTAACATTTACAGAATTTACTTCCTGGGAAGAGAAGTGAACAGCTCTACTTCCCAGGACTGAAAGTAGAGATCAGGATGTTCACAAACATGCTATACAAAAGTTTCTGACCCGGGGTAGGCATTAAACTAATGATTACACAAATAAATAAACTGTAGAGGTCCAAAAAAGGCAGAATATTTCCCCATAGACTAAACAGTTAGTAAGAAAACATGCACGATGTAAGTTTCCCTCTTGTCATTTTGGAAAAAAAGTATGTTTAGTATTGCCTCCATTATTGGGAGAAATATATGTTGTAAATACCAGGAGCTGGGAAAGATAAGGTTTGAACTCAATATTAATATTGGCCCCATGCCCTGCTACTGGCCTTCCCCCAGTCATTGAATTATGTGGAACAAACCTGGAAGTTGAGATAGTATAATCATCTGATCCAGCCCATTAGTTTTTGTGTTCTTAGCATAGCAAGCACTCTCTAACACAGATTCCTTACTTTTTAGACATTTTTTTTTCAGAGAATCAGATAAAATGGATTGTCTTGACCAAAACACTTGGCCAGGATAGCTTGCATTGATTCTCCCGTGCCCAGACAGTTTAATTGTGAGCTAAACATAGATCTCTATTACAGAAAGTATGTCTTTACCATTAAAACATTTCAGTTTATTTAGCTGCATCATTCTAATCAACACTATTATTTAAAATAACACTTTTCTGAAATCCAGATCTAAGCTGATGTTATTGAGCTTGAGTTTATGCTTCTTTTTTCAAGGATGTAAAAAAATCAGGAATCCTGTAACACACCATTTGTATAAAATTTTGCTTTTCAAAGGGTGCTACCAATTTTTTGTCACCATAGACCAACATGGACCACCTTCACCACCACCTCCTCCCCCCTCCTTCTCCAACAGCCTCCTCCCCAGCTGCGTATGGAAAGGGCTGTAAAGTTCAATCCTTCCAGAGATCACTATGGGATGATGCAGAACTACGACAGTCTTAGCTTCCTGTTGTGTGTAACATTTTTAATAAGTGTTTTAATAAAAAATATTTATTTTATTTATTAAGAAAACTATATGGCTGCCCAACACACGGTGACTTTGGGAGGCTTACAGAAATAAAACTCCAACACAAAGTCCAATTACACCCCCCACCCCCCTGCAACAACCATCAAACCAACCACCTGATGGGCTCTGAATCCCTTGGGGCAGGGGTAGGCAACCTTGGCTCTTTTATGGCTGGCTCAGAAATTCTGGAAGTTGAAGTCCACGAGTCATAAAAGAGCCAAGGTTGCCTACCCCTGCCCTGGGGGGTTCCCGGGCCCACTGGCAAAACCATGTTTTCAAAAGAATGTCAGAATGTTATTTTGGTCTGCAGAAGAGGGGAGCCATCCAAAGAAGGGGAATTGTGCAATTATACTTCTCAAACATGTGCATTTGAGGGATTACACACTATACAGATTGTTCCAAACTGCTGAGGAAAAAACAGTTCTAGCAGCAAAACTGTAACCTAAAGCAACAAATATTACTAAGAGGTGAGCGGTAGGTTTTGGCATCAATGACTATGCACTAAAAAGCACCAAGTCCCTTGGAAAGATATTTAAAATGGATGAAGGTAATTTAAGCAGCTCTTTGTCTGTTGCAATTATACTTTATTTAAATACAGGTTACAACAGTTCATTTAGTGACCAAAGTTACAATGGCACTGAAAAAAGGGACTTATGACCATTTTTCACACTTACAACTACTGTAGCATCCCCATGGTCACATGATCAAAATTCAGATAGTTGGCCACTGATTCATACTTATGGCGGTTGCAGTGTCCTGGGGCCATGTGATCAGTCTTTGTGATCTTCTGACAAGCAAAATCAACGGGAAATTCAGATTCACTTAACAACTGTGTTACTAACTTAAAAAATTCAATGATCCACTTAGCAACTGTGGCAAGAAAAGTCATAAAATGGGGCAAAACTCACTTAACAAATGTTTCACTTAGCAAGATAAAATTTGGGTTCAATTGTGGTCGTAACCCAAGGACTATCTGTATGTGGTTCATAAATTGAAATGTATTTCCCTATTATAGCAATGCTGCCATTCTACAGTAATGTTAAAATTATAGAAGGGAAAAACCCAAGGAGAAAACAATCACAATATGATTAAATACAAAACATACCTGTCAGGATTATCAGATGCACAGACAGAATCAATAAGCCCAACATCAAGGGTTCCCTTTAAAATAATAACACGAACTTATAACAGTAAATACAGAACTGGTACAAAACTACATATTTTCTGTTCCTACCTTTTATTTTCTCAATTTGTTTCAGCGAACCCGTAATGACCAAGGTAGTTAGGAGCTAGCTGGGTTCTTAAACGATTGGAATTAAAGCACTATGTGCCCTACCTCTGTCTCCGCTCAAGATGGGGTATTAGGAACCCCAAATATCCTCTTTGTGCATACACAGTATCAAACTGACCCTGCAAACACACTTCTATTCCAGGTGCAGAGAATGCACAAAAGGATCTATCGTCACTTTCCGGAGAATCTATATTACACCATTTGTGGTGGCTTGTAGCACTTATTGTTGCATTTAGTGGCATCAACTAATGAGGGCTTTTAGTTTATAGCTTTGGACTGAGTCTTCTATGGTGATTCTATGAGATGCCAATTAGACCACTTTGATCAGTAGCAACCGTATCACTAAGACATAATCAACTACTGAATTCATGAGAAACAACATAATCTTTCCGGTATGATGTTCTCCTAATTGTTACTCACCACCGCATTCTTTGGATTGGCTTGCTCATCTTGCATTTCTCTCAGCTGTTGCTCTGTGGCACTATGCACATGACTTAGGACATTAAACCAGTCACTATCAAAATAAAATAATAAATAATCAGAATCCATTTTAGATGGCCAGCAATGCCAGGCTTATATAATTTACCAGGCAGATGGATCATAACAACCCTGAATGTTTCCTACAAAGTTAGCCAATTATTAGCTAGGTGTATGTGTTCTATGGAACCTTTATAAAATATTAGTTTATTCTAAGTTCAACCATCACATTTATCAGGTTTTGCTTTCTATTATGGCTAGTGAATGTGATCATGCCTAATAAATCACAAGCTATTAATCAGTTTGTTAGATATAGCCAATTGTGATTTGACCAACAAACTGCCTGGATTTAGATAATACAGTTAAGTCAAAACAAAAAAGAAAGCATATGTGATAATGTGATAAATGACTCTGTCACTGATCGATGGTGATTTTTTCCCAAGATATTGGTGATGATTTTTTTCCAAGATATTGGGTACTGGTCTTTCTCAGCTCTGCTGTGTAAGAATGTTTAGAAGGTCTAAATGTGATTCTTTCAATGCAGAATGTGCCATATGCTGTTCTCATAGTTTGACACAAGATATGTAGGATATATTTGCAGTCATAGGATAGATGTCTGCATATTTATAGCCCAGTTATTACTTTGGATTGGAAAACAGCTTACGAAAAAGTCAATTGTGAGGACCAGTTTAAGTACAATCTGAAGCTGTGGAATAGAACATCCAATTCACAAAGATTAAAAAGGCCATTAATATATCGGCTTCCTTAAATAGATTGCCCAATGTAAACTATAAATTGTCCAATTTAAGCTATAATATGGCACAAACAGATACAATACAGTAAGTACCTTCAGATGATGAAAGCTTTACATAATAAGCAGACATTATTATTATATTTCACTGTCAGATATTCAAATATTAAGTCTCCTGAATAATCTTCTGATACTTGAATTATAATATAGTAACAGATAGAAGTGGAATTGTCTGTAACCATGTGCTACTTCAGCAGAGATTACACATTTTATATGCCAGCTCAATGGGGCTTGTGAATTGCTTGCAAAGTGGATCTTATAGCTCCACAAAGGAAAAAACAGTCAGTATTTCTAGGAATTGGACCTGTAGAGGAAACAGCTCAGAGACAGAAACAATTTTTGCTTTACCCCATACCTGGCATCCTCTGGTGACTCCGCCACTATGTGGTAAACCCGGTCACCTGTCACAATATCAAGGGCATTCTCTTTCTCATGAATATCCACAATTTCCCTGCAAAAAGACCATGCATTAAGAACCAGACTGTCAAAGTTATCCAATAAAATTTAGCCTTTCTCTCTTTGGCATGTTTGGCATTAAGGAAGCTTGGAGCTTCTCTTGTCTTATAGAAGCAGCTCAGGTCATCCTTCCTGGTAAAGTCAAACATACAAGAAAGAACAACGGAGGAGACTTTAGTGTGGATTAAGCAAACATTTCATAGTCAGGGATCTAAAAGTGCTTCTTGCTATAGTAGCCACCGGCAAATCCAACGACAACTGAAGATCAAGGAGCTTTCTAAGACTGGGGAAGACAGTCACATCCAAATCAGGTTGAATCTCAGTCCTCAACTCGTGTCATATTTCCCCAACAGCACCACTATCTTGTCTGGATTTAACTTCAACTTGTTCTAATGCACCTAACCATTATTAAATGCAGGTAATATTGAAGTATACTAACTGCTTCCTTGGATTAAGGAATAGTAAATATTAGTATCATCAAAATACTAATAATGCCCCATTCTAAAACTCCTGATATCTGCCAGCAGTTTCATATAGCTATTGACTATTATGGGGAACAAGATGCAATATGTGAGATAAGTAAATAGCAATATCCCAGCACCATTTATGGATATAAACTGTTGCAAAAATTTACACTCCCAAGACTAGACAATTCAGAAGGATACCACAGTTAGTAGTATCAATAGTTTAGCACTTCCTCCATATTACTATGTATGTTTTTCACCTCAAAATGACTGGCTAATACATTTGTTTTTGGTACAGGTGTAGAGCTGAATTAACCTTTCCTTACATTTGGATATAATTTTGGGCTTTTCAGTAGGTCCCAAGGCTGATTTTTCAGACAAAGCGGTTGGAACAATCCAAAACAGGAGTAGGTTAGTAGCCTAATATTAAAGATAGAGCTAATGGAAAGTTAGAAGGAACAGGAGGGTAAAAAGCTCTCTTTTCAAGTAATGGACATCATAAAGACAAATGGGAGTCAAATTGATTAGATAGTTTTCAGACAAGAATAATAATTTTGCATGAATAAGAACATGGGAATTCAAAAGTTTAAAATGTCCCCTTCAGGGAGATGTCAATTTTCTCTCACAGCTTTTGGGCTTAGATTGAAGTATTCTGGGACTTAAACTCTGAAATTATTTCTCTGAAAGCCAGGCTGCAGAGAATTTTGCTTTTTGCCTTCCAACAGTGAACAAAGAAGCAAAATAATGAATTAGGTTAAATGGTTGAGCCTTGTTTTCCTTGAAAGGAGAGACATAATGGCATTGCCCATACTTTGCTTTCCTGATATCAATGGTTCCTTTCAGCTTTTCTTCACTGTCATTCTCAAAATACATCAGTTTGGCTTCTCTCAGGACAAACCAGCGCCGTTTCCAATTCCGACGAGATAACGTGGACATGCCTCCTCCTTTCTTATAAAGCCAGCCTGACTTTAAGGCCTCCTGTTTGGCTCGGAACCACATAAAGGCCTCATTTTTTAGGACACACCAACGCCGCCTCCAGGGATTCATCAACCCCCCTGCAAGGGAAAGAAACCAAGTTGGAAAAACACCAAGTATTCTCCACATTTGCTCCAGCTGTATCTGACCAGACACTGATATATTCATATTTCTGTCCTTGCCTGTAAGATTACCCTGAAAAATGAAATACTTCCTGTATAGTTAAGATCCACTTATTATTTAAACAATCTATATGGCTGTTCACCTCACTACTGTGATTTTGGGAGGCTGAAAATGAATCAAGATAAAAAAAAACTACTAAGCCCATAAAAAGAATAAGTTACAAAAATCAATACACATATAGGACTGACAGACTCTATTGGCCCATCAGAATAGGAGTTACCTCCTGCCGTGGGATACAGACGTGAAGAACTCTTCAGGCCAACAAGGAGTGATCCATCCATAACACTAAACCAATGGGAATAGCTTCCAATTCTCTTCAATTGCCAATATAAAAAATGAAAACTTACATCCCATAATTTATTTACACCTGTGCTATCTGTGATTTTATTGAAAACGGAAATAAGAGTATTTTTTAAAGAAAGAAAAGGAAAAGAGAAATAAAACACTATACCAGTTTCCTGTTCTTTTTTTTTCTACAACACAAAGGACTCATAAAATTGATTACTGTTATTTTTGAGGAAAAAGCCTTTTAGCTATTAGTGCTAATAGCGATTTTGAACCATTACTATACGGTTAATAATAATAATAATAATAGTAAAGTTGGAAGGGACCTTGGAGGTCATCTAGTCCAGCCCCCTGCTCAGGCAGGAAACCCTATACCATTTCGGACAAATGGCTGTCCAGTCTCTTCTTAAAAACCTCCAGTGTTGGAGCATTCACCGCTTCTGGAGGCAGGTTGTTCCACTGGTTAATTGTTCTAACTGTTATAGAAGAAGCTTGCTATAATTGGATAAATGTGGCTCACAAAAAACAATGTGCCAAGTGTGTGATGAAAAGTGTATAGGATCTGGATTTAATTCCCCCCACCTACAAAGCTCAGCATATACTCTTTTAGGAAATCCTGAAGATCTAAAGTGCTGCAAATAACTTATATGTAAAAAGGGAGAATTGTCTTAAGATTCACAGAGAATATAGTAATGAAAGCATTGCAAATAAATTATAAATCTAGATTGGGAGTGGGAAGCATTATCTTGCTGTCAGAACATTATCTCATCAGTGCCTATGGCTAGTGGCCAAGTAACTTGATAATAATAGAGCTAGCTACAAATGGTTTTTGAACTTTAAGAAAAGCCACTGGAGAGCTGTGAAAAGATAGCCAGAGTAGAGTATGTAGGGTGGTGGTGGATGAGAAGGGTAGTAGGAAGGAGAGGAAGAAAATGCCTGTGGGCATTTATAGAATAACTGGGTGGGTGTATATGTTCTTCATCCTAATATGAAACCCAGTTTATCTATTCATAAAGGTTAAACTCGATCTAGAAAAAATACCTGGACTGCCATTTTGATATCACTGCATGGCATGCTAAAACTTTAGCAAAGAATTCTTTGAAACCCCTTCTCTAAAAAGATACAACTTTTATAACTAGAATGAATACAGGACCAAGCAACAACAAGAGGAGAAAAAAAAAGAATGTATCAACTTAAGATGAGTAATTGCAGAAGCAGACAACCTGCTAACTTCATGGAACTGGAAAAATCCTTTACCCTTCATGTAGAGATAGCTGTGAAAATATGCGGGCCCAGATCCATTGAACAGAGTGACCCGGCCGCTACAGAATTCTTCATCTGTGTCCATGTAAGTATCCCCTTCTTCATCATCTTTGGTATCTAGAAACTAGAAGAAAAATGAATTATTGTTATCTGGTAACTATGCCACTTCTATTACATGTTAAATTGATTTCCTAGGTACAGTAACAGCTGTACAGAAGTTGCATCAAGACCTTTCATTCAAGAATTCGTTTAAAAAATGAATGAGAAAAAAAATATGACTAGTAGCGAGTTGGATGGACTCAGTGCAGTGAAGGTCCAGATTAGGAATAGAAATTGATTTCCCTGGAGAAATTCTATTTATGTGATCATCCAGAATCAGAAATGACTTAATGCACATAATCAATTAATCGATTAATCAATCATGGCAGCCATATATAAATAATAGCATGGAAGAAAATACCAGAAGATTGTATTTAAACATATCACATTGTTGTCTAGAATTGTCTGCCTGAATTATATGTCTTGGGAGATCTCTTTTAATAACACAGTTAAGAAAAAAAATAGTAGGGCGACTAATTTGATAAGGAAATTTTGCATGAGGTAATTTAGCACTTCCTTGATGGGCAAAATATTTTTTCACTCAAACTTCTATTTGTCCCACAACAAGAATATTAAACCAGATTTGGATCCAGCAAGAAGGAAGCAAGGATATATTGAGATGGGTGAAAAAAATAAATATTGAGAATGACTTAGATAAAAGGAGATTTAGAGCAGGGGTGTCAAACTGCCTGCCCGTGGGCCAGATGCGTCATGGCAAAACTGCACCAACCCATTGCCGGCAATGGAAAAAAAAGTCACGATATGTTGTGACACGTCACGTGATGTTGCGAGTTTGACACCCCTGATTTAGAGTATGTAATACTCTATGTAAAAATTTAACACAGATGTTGCTCTTGCAACAGAAGAATTATTAGAAGCAACATTGAACACTGGTCCAAGCTCAAAAGAAGTGTGCCTATTTTGATATCAACTTTCTCCAGTGCTTTTTTTCTAAAAAAAAAAAAAAAAAGGTGCCAGAACTCACACGTCATACAACCCGCCTTGCCTACCCTACAAGGTTCCATCCAAAAAAGGTGCCGGAACTCTGTTCTGGGCGTTCTATGAGAAAAAAAGCCCTGACTTTCTCCTATCATTTTTTTAATGGAAGACATTCTTTACCATTAATGGTCCTCATCTGAATACACACACGCGTGAGCGCAAACACACAAGCCCAGTCTCACAGGGAAATATGAAACTGTAATGGAAGAATCCAGTGACCGAATATATAAAAATTGATATGGATTATGTGTAGACTGATCTACATACACACACACACTAGTGCTGCAAATAGTTCTTTAGGTTTGCATAGTAAGTAAGCCATAAACAATGCATTGTCACAACAGATTAACTAACAGAGTAAATGCCACAATGGACTGAACAAATTAATATATGTGTCTCTGAGGGCATGTGAAAACATAACTTTGTCCTGCCTTTCCTCCATTATGGAACTGAAGCCAATGTTGCTCATTGGAATTTATGGATTACATTTGACAATGATATCAATTAAGAAACACGATTGACATTACCACTTCTGCAAGATGAAACAGGTTAACAACAGGAATATTCAACTGCAATGGTTATGAAAGTTTCTCACCGAGTCCAAGCTTCCACGATGGGAATCCACACCATTGCTATGAGAATTGTGCAGGCCTTCCTCCCTGTTCAGTGGTTCAATTGATGTGCTGCTGATATCTACAATGCCATCATATTCCTCATGGTCATAATCTGATTCCACATCTGGAGGCAAGCTGTAAATTGGATCTTCCACCTCCACCGTGTCATTCTGCATTACTTCTGAGCCTATCCAGTATATGCTTTTCAGATGTTCTGTCTCAGGGCTTCCAGCTCTCTCAGTAGAAGGAAGCAGAGCATCACCTTCTCTGTTCTCTTCCTCCCCAGACACTGGCATATTTGGAGATGTGTCTTCCTCGGAATAATAGTTATCACTGGTCCTGGTGCTACTGTCCTGGTTCAACAGACTTGGGCTGGGGACTGGTGGCCCTTCTTCATCAGCCGGAAAACCTTCATCTTCTTCTTCCTCAGCTAGTGGAGCAACAAGGCTGCATTCAATATTGAGAGTTCCTTCATTGGACAGGGAGCGTTCCAGGTTTTGCACGCTTTCGTCCAGGTTCCCAAAATCTAAAAGTTCTAAGAACTCCTGTGCAACCCTAGATGCTTCTTTCTCCAGCCTCTGTATTTCTTCTTCCCGTTGCCGCTTCATCTCATTCTTGGTATTCTCACACGTAATGGACACATGATCTGCTTTCTGTTGCCACTGCAGCTTCTCAATTTCCCTTTCCAACCGCAGAATCTCCTCCATTTGACGCTGTTCCTCTTCCCGCAGTGGATGGTTCTCCTTCTGGGTTTTTAGTACCTCCATCTGATTTGAAAATGCAAGAAAGTAATGAGCTTTCATACATCGGTTTTAGACAGTCATCAATAGATCCGAAAATTCAGGAGTTATCAAAAGGGCCAAGTGGTGCTTCACTGCTCCCCCCTTTTTTTAAAAATTCTAACTTTTCAAAGATACAATATGGAACAATTTGCTAAATCCCCCTAAGCTGAATGTAATTCAAAAGAAGATCATTATGGGTAGGTAGTGTATCTCCTTTGATACACTAGTATTTGTATGTTATTTACAAACAACAACAACAACAACAACCAGTAAGCCAAAGAAAATACTGTATGAGGCCTGTTGCTCTATCCATGGTTGGAACCAATGTTTTCTTAATGCCTTTCAACCATCCCCAAATTAAAAGACAACAAACTGGATTCACTGGAATTCTCCACTGAATATCTGGAGTTCTAATCCAATATAGAATCCCACTCAAAATTAAAACATTTTTTTAAAATAGTCAAAATCTTATGACATTTATAAATTTTGTAAGATTTCAGCACTGTCGAATTCTGAACACTGGGTTTTAGAGATGAAAGCAAAAGGTCTCCCTATGTGTACCACAGAGATGTTGCATTGATTTAGACTTCTGTATAAATGCACAGAACCCAGTTCCTAAAATATTGAATCGATTTTTGATAATTTCCTGAAATCTTCTGCATGACTTGAAAAAAAAAATCATCCTTCTGTTGCTGGTTGGCTCAAAAGGAAAGCATCAATTGTCACTACAGTTTCAGAAGCTTCTCTCTCAAGTCAGGTAGCAGCTTTGGGTATGGTGTATATAGATTTGAGACAAGTAAGGGCGTTAAGAGGACAATGTTAAACTTCCCTCTCCACTTTAGCATCACATATATTTTGATTTAAAAGTGATGAACTGTAAATCAAATGTGCCCCAGAGCTACTTCGGAGAAATGCACACAGCTAACAGTGCACTCAGAAGAAAAACTCAGTCAGGTAGCTTAGGGTTCTGCTGGGGATCCTGAAGAGGCAGAAGGTTGGAGAAACAACAGGAACGTACCTGAGCTATCTGCAGTGCTGCTTCCAACTGCTCCTTTTTCCTGTTCAAAATAAAAAAAAGCAATTATCCAATAAAATACACAGTCTAGTTTGCCAGAAATTTCACAAAGAAGTAACAGGTAATCACACACTCTGTCAATTTCTAGTACTGAAAATCAATGCAATTTTAAATGGTATGCCTGCCTTTGTTATTTATGTCTTGGTTAAAAGCTGTTGCAAAACCTTCAAAACCATAGAATTTATTACAGCACCTTTAATTAATAGCTTGAGTTTTCTGAAGGTTGAATTTTCTTAAAGGTTTTAGAGCAGAAACTGACTGCTACTTGATATATATATGGACCACTCACAATACGGACTGCCTGTGGCTACCTAAAAGTAATAAAGTTTGCCTTATGATGAATAACAATTCATCATCATAAAAAAACATTAATAACAACTCATCATAAAAAACATTTAATTGAAAAAGCACTCAGGTTAAGACAGGTGAACAGCTGGATGTACACAGAAGAGAAAGACTCCGTTAAGCCTATTTCCCAATTCTGGAATTAATCTGGGAAACTAGAGGGGAAAGAAAGACATGTGCAAGCAAAGGTGGATGAGCCTTTGGAAAAAGTTGAATTTTTTGAGAACCAAATGTAGTTCATTTTTTATAGATCTCGTGGCAGAGAAACAGGCTCAGAAAAGAGCAGCTGCTGCTGCTTTGCAATCTCTGATTTATCTTTGCCTTCAGGATCACCAACCTTAAGTTGCTTTGGACCTGGAAATGGAATCTATTCATTTCACATACTATTATTAGTTTCATATTAACAACTTGATTCTAGATACAGAGATTTCTTTGTATGGAGCTCCATGTCTCCAATAGTTCAAAATTCCTTTTTTGAACTGCTTCAGCTGAGCCCTGGCAAGACCAAGTGGTTTTGAGTGCAAGGAACGTCAAGGTCCAAATCTTTGACATCCTTAGTTCTGGATGAGATGACACTACTCCAGACAGACCCGGTGTGCAGGTGGCAGTTGTGGCTAGGAGATTGCACAACTTTGCGTTGTGTGCCAGTTGTGCTCTTTCTCCGATCAGGAGTCCTGCACTCAGTCATTCAAGTCCTGGTCCTCTCACATTTGGATTACTGCAATGCACTCCACATGGGGCTATCCTTGAAGAGCATTTGAAAGTTACATCTTGTGCAGAATGCAGGCAGTTCTTGGGACCCCTAGAGTGGCCCTTGTTATACCACTGCTCTGCAAGCTGCACTGGCTGCCAGTTTGCTTTGTTGGTTATTACCTTTAAAGTCCTGCATGGCATGGATCCAGATTACTTAAAGAACCATGTCAGCCCAATGGGATTGGCTCACCCCAACCAGGCCGGCAAAGGAGGCATGCTGCGGACCCCGTTGGTCAAGAAATTCCGGCCGGTGGGGTCCAGGAGAAGAGACTTCTCCGCTGTGACTTCTGCCTTTTGGAACATCTCGCCCCCATCTCTGGGGGGTGAGATCTGTTCCCATCCTCCTGATCTTCTGTAAGAGAGATGGAAGACTCAGCTCTGCTAGATGGTCTCAGGCCCCAATGGGGGGTACGTCACACTGGAAATGGACCAACGGCAGATCCAACTCCCCATGTATCCCGCTCCCTGCCTCCTCTTTTAATTATAAGTTGTATTTTTATTGTTCTTAAGACTGTATACATTATGATTTTATTACTTTTAACATTATAAGCCACCCAGAGTGACCTTGTCGTGAGAAGGGCAACAAATAAATTTAAATACGTTTTAATTAATTAATTAAGTAAGCAAGCAAGTAAAGTAAAATAGCTCTCAGAAACATGGCCATGGCGGATTGTACCTTTTCTTTTCCTTCTCTTCTTGCTTCCTCCTACGCTCCCTCTCTTCTTGCCATTGCCTTTCTTCTTCCTCCCTTCTAATCCTCTCTTCTTCTTGCCTCTGCTCCTCAGCTTCCTCTTTCTGCCTCTGCTTTTCTTCCAGCAGGTCTTGATAGAGTCTGCGAGCTAGGTGCCCACGCCAGTGCTTTTGCAGGACAACGGCAGAGGCTTTCAGGCATAAGAGAGACTTCTTCCAGAAGTGAGCACGGTAATTTTTTTGGATGGTCACAACACTGGCTAGCACCCTTCGATAGTTCTTCCTGAGTCAAAAGGCATATAAATATGGAGGTCACACCAATATAATCACCCTTCTTCCAAAAGTCTCCCTAGCTGCTGTTTTGCCCTGTGACGTCTGATCTGAACGCCCAACACAATCAAGTCTCCATGCGGACAATGCTCCAAGAAGCTACTCTGCCATTCTCCCAAACTTTGCCAAACAGCATGGAGTTTCTGCATCTTAAAACTGCCATTCATTTTCAGTTTCTGCATGTGATCTTCTGCTACGCACAACAAATGGAGTAATTGGGGTGTGTGTGTGCAAAACATACTCTCTCTATGCCAAACTCGAGTTTCTAAATCTCTCCAAATAGGGTCAGTTCACAACTTTTATTTTCTCCTAACTTACGTCTCCTAACTTGATGTTCCCATAAAGAGAAGCAAAGATTGCTATCCCGCTTGCCATCTTAAAGGATGAAAATAACCAGTTTTAAGAATAAAAATAAAAGGCTATGATAGACTTCATCTGCCGGAAAGTTATTTGCTGTTTAGCAATGAGGTCAGGTGTCCTACAGATATTCAGGAACAGTTTTCTTGATGGCTAACTTGTGGAAATCTGACAACTCAGGCTCGAATCACGTTGGCCACATGACCATGGAAGAGTCTTTGGACAATGCTGGCTCCCTCAGCTAAGAAATGGAGATCAGCACCACCCCTAGAGTTGAATATGACTGGACAGGGGAAAACCTTTACCTCCAACTTGTAGATAATGAAAATCACAAGTTCTGGCTTCAGATCCTGTCATGGATATTCCTTGCCGGAACTCTAGAGCTGGGGATGGGTGTATATGTGTGTGTGGGGGTGTGTGTGTGTTAATGCGCGTGGATCCCTTCTGGGAATTCATAATAGAGGGCATGAAACCTGTTTTACCTTTATGGCGATGACGTAGGAGAAATAATAGATCTTACACTATATTCCTGAATGTTTGTGTAGAACAGAAGCACCACCTGGGCAAGAATACTTATAGGAACTAAGAAGCTGATGCCTTAGCAAGAGAAATCCCTGCAAAAAAAACCCAAAACCCTCAGAGATGGTCCCAGTAAATAGTAGCAGCGCGTTCTGCAGCCCTATGCAGAACTCTGAGAATCAAAACTTCCTTAAAATACTACTTCAATCAATAAAAATAGGTTCACTTCACTCCTCCAAATAGGCTTCTTATCAAAGATATAAAGGTAAAATTTTAAAACCTGCTGAAACCCCAGGGTTTGGTTTAGTGGTTAAAACATGGAGCTAGAAACCAGACCATGAGTTCAAGTTTTGCCTTGGCCATTAAAGATTGTTGAGTAATCTTGTGCCAATCACTCTCTCTCAGCCCAACTCACCTCACAAGGTGGTTGTTGTTGTGGAGAAAACAGGAGGAGGAAGGTGTTGGATATGTTTGCCACTTTGACTTACTTATAAAGTAACAAAGGCAGGATAAAAATCAAATAAATATTAGTAGGAGGTCCATACTCAGACTGATATCAAACTGATGGACTGGGAATGGAAGGGCTTGGATGGAAGGAAGATTGAACCTTCCTTGTTCATGCTCTCTCTCTCTACCTTAACTCTTCCCCCCCTCCCCGTGTGCATACCCAAGCTATTCCATACCAGCTCTGTGAAACAAAAACATTTAGCAGCCCTTCCCATTCCTTGCTTTTCTGCTTTAACGGCATCCCCAATCCAGCTTTATTCCCATTCCACTTACTGTAAATTCTGCTGTAATAGTGAGCATCACATTTAAATCCCATGAAGCCAGAGAAGCCATACCACCACCTACGGTACATGGCATGAGACTGGCAGGTGGGATGGCATGGCAGAAAATCCAATTTGCATTTACACCACCCAGAAAAAGTAAAATAATAATTTTTAAAAATTAACCATATGTTGCTTATTAATGATACCATCTTTAGGGTGGTTCTTTGCCTCTCTAAAATAGTCCTCAGCTTACAACCACAACTGAGTCCAAATTTCTGTTGCTAAGTGAGACATTTGTTAAATGAGTTTTGGCCCATTTTACAATTTTTCTTGCCACAGCTGTTAAGTGAATCGCTACACTTTTAAAGTTAGTAACATGGTTAAGTGAACTTGGCTTTCCCATTGACTTTGCTTGTCAGAAGGTCGCAAAAGGTGATCACATCACCCCTGGACATTGCAACCGTCATAAATATGAGTCAGTTGCCAAACATGTGAATTTTGATCACATGACCATGAGATGCTGCAATGGTTTTAAATGTGAAAAATGGTGATAAGTCACTTTTTTCAGTAACTGTTCTAACTTCAAACAGTTACTAAATAAACTGTTGTTAAGTCAAGAGCTATCTGTACAAGTAGAATAACATGTATCATACATACATGTGTGCAAATGTTTTAAAAGTTATTTTGTGTGACAATTATAGATGTGGTCCTAGTGGCAAAAATAGCTTTAGCAGAAAGACACATCTAGTTTAAGTACAGTAGAATTCAAATTTTCCATAGTCTTCCCTCAAATTTCAGTTGGCTTAGACCAGGGGTAGGCAACCTTGGCTCTTTTATGACTGGTGGACTTCAACTCCCAGAATTCCTGAGCCAGCCATGCTGAGGGAAAAGGGAGAGGTTTCCAAGCTGAGCCATGCTGGCTCAGCAATTCTGGGAGTTGAAATCCACCAGTCATAAAAGAGCCAAGGTTGCCTATCCCTGGCTTAGACAAAATGTAGAGCCTTGTTCATGACTGGAAACTATTCAGTTCCAATCCATTTCCAGCAATCAAGGCCATTGGCAAGAGATTGTAATAACTCTAGGCAGGAAAATCGGAAATGTACCAGGTTATCTATCCCTGGGGTGAGATCTCATCAACTTTCCTGGTTTAGTTTGCTTGGCAAAAACTTGAAAGTATTCCTATAGATTTTGCAATAGTACATTTCCTATAGATTGCAAGCAATAGTACACTAACTCAGTGTTTCTCAACCTTGACAATTTTAAGGCATGTGGACTTCAACTCCCAGAATTCCACAGCCAGCATTGCTGGCTGTGGAATTCTGGGAGTTGAAGTCCACATGCCTTAAAATTGTCAAGGTTGAGAAACACTGCCACTAACTAAAGGTGTAAAAAAAACTAAAGACTTTTATTTTTCTTCTGACTGTTATGGGGAGGGGAGCCATCCTTATTAGTTCTATACATTTTCCCTCTCTCCTAGTTTTATCTGGCCCAGTGGGGTCTGGGATTTCACCCAACATTGCTCATAGGTGTTCCAGTCTTTCTTCAGAACCTTAAGGGAGTCTAAAAAGGGTTTTAAGACAAACCTACACAAATCACACTGAATTTAGTCCTAACTTCTATGTGCAATGGTGCAATCCTGCAAGATATACCATCTATTTCTTATAGCAACACCGCTGCACCCTATGAATGCAAGTGATTATCCCAATGGGCATGCAGTACACACTGCAATTTGCCTGAACAAGCTGAGACAAAGCCCAGCTCACTATGGAAGAAGAGATGATAGTAAGTTAAAAATAGAGACATAGGTAAGGAGACACAGAGCAGGGATGAAACATAACCCCCCTGCTTATAACTCTACCAAGAGACCCCTGGAGAGAAACAGGAACCGGGCAGAGCTGTTATGGCCTTGATACTGAGCTGTTCTAACTAAATCAAAGCAGAGTTTCTGCTTGGAACAATGAATGGCAGAGAGAAGGGAGCCAGGGATCTAGATAAGGGCAGCTTCATGGAGGACGAAAAATGCAACAGGAGAAAGTCAAAGCGAGTGGCTTAACTTTGCCTCTTAGAAACACTAGGAAGTTTTCCAGCAGGAATGGGGAGGCCAGGGAAAAAAAAAAGGGGGGGGGGAAGGAGAGGAAAATCCAGTACATGCAGAGGCAGCAGGCAGGCAGGCAGGCAGCAACGCCAGCCAAGCAAAGCAGGCAATCCGAGCACTGACCTTGCCATGTAGCCCAGGACGTGGGCTCGGATGATGGTGGCCGCCTTCTTCAGCTCTTCTTCCCGGGCCTTTTCCAGCTTTTGTTCCAGAACCTCCTTCAGGAAAACCTAGTACCCCGGGGAGGAGTTTCGCCAAGCACAAAGAGAGGAAACAGCAAGTCCCAGGCAGCACCAGCAGATCCCATGCCTGCCAGCCTGCCTGCCTGCTCAGAGTAAACCAGACCCGGAGGGCTTCTTTTACGCTCCTGCAACGGAGCCGTGCCCGCTGCTCCGCCAGCCCTTCCCTTCGGGAATCAGCACCGATAGACAAGGGAAAAGTTGAGCAGGGAGTGTCAGCCCAGCCCCCGCACTGTGCTCAAGGATTGGGGGGGGGGAAGGGGAGGAGAGGAGGAGGCTGCACTGCTTTTACAACTCTTGTTTAACCCTTTTCCTGACCTAGCTTTATCTTTCTAAGAAGGTAATTGGAGCTTTCCATTTAAAATTCCTAAAGCACTTTTAGGATACCACCTGTGTATAAAGACAGAGAGAAAACCACAGTGAGAGGAATTGCACAGGAAAACTGGTTCAATTATGTGAAAGATCTCATTTCAAAATAATAAGAAAGAAGAGGCGCCCAAAACCAATTTCCGCACTACAACTAAATCATCCATATTTCCTTTGGCTGATAATTAGCATTTCTCCTCCAAGCCAGCCTTTCCCTCGTTTTCTTGCCTGCTAAAAAGAGCTGGAGTATTCCTTTGTATTGTTTTTTTTTTCTACAATGATCTATCCCCTCAAGAGTCAGGCTTAATTTGACATGCACGTTAACAGATGGTGGTTGCAATGTTTTATATACACATTTTCAGATCAGATTTTTAAATGGACATAAATAAAGAGAATTATATTGCAAAAGTCCTAGTGGATATTCTAAAGATGAGGTATTAAAATTCCAACTGCAGGGCCTGGAAACACAGTAATTTATTAATTTTCCACTCTTGCTTCTCATTCCTGGCTTATACAGTATTTGAAAAGTGTATTTGTGTGTGTGTGGGGGGGGAAGTATTGGTATTTAAACACCAATAAACAGTGAATCCTAGGATTTTTTGCAATGCCACAAAGGATGCAAAAGCATCTTAGAACATGTGGCAGAAGTGAGACAATAAAAAATGGCCTTGGTCCACCTTCCATGGAGCCATAATGGTTACTTCACCCACTCTGCTTTTGGTGACTAAATTGACTCACTGATATCTGCTCCTTTAATGTACTCAACCAAGTATATTAAGCAATAAACTCATAGAGACAAAGATAGATAGGCCTTGATATTTTGAATGTAGCATTCTTCTGGGACTAAGGAAGTATGAAAGGATTTAATGGCATACCCCCAGAACTCTATTTTGGTCACTTCTATGGCTTGTCTTTCACATTCACTTAAGGTAAAGGCACCACAACTCAATCTTATAAATCCAATTGCATTTCACATTTGCTTCTTCCAAAAGCAATTAAAGAGGTATCCAATGGCATCTCAGCAACATAGCTAAGAGGTGATCTTTATGGGACTCTATTCCTCACTCTGTTTATTGAGACCTTATTTCTGTGCACTTGACTTTCCAACCCCCTTAAGACCCTCAAGAGCAGTGTTTCTCAACCTTGACAATTTTAAGGCGTGTGGACTTCAACTCCCAGAATTCCACAGCCAGCAATGCTGGCTGTGGAATTCTGGGAGTTGAAGTCCACACGCCTTAAAATTGTCAAGGTTGAGAAACACTGCTCAAGAGTAACCTGGGTTGATCTTCTGACAATGCTCTAAAACAGGAAGAGTAGCATGGCCAGAGTATAGCCAGAATATTCTATCACTATGTCTTATCTCCTCTTTGAAAGAATTCTGCATTTCCCAATTTGCCTCAAAATGGTGGTAGGGGGGGAACCTCACAGTCACATGTATACTGTTCCAAAAGCTGTATTGGGAGTTGAGGAGAAACCAGTATTAGTCTGAATTGCATAGGTGAGCTGGATAAGCCGAATTAAAATATTGAAATATTCCAAAGACTGGGGGGGGGGGGGGGAGAAGGGAAGAATTTTGAATGCAAACAATGTATACATAACAAATGTTAAAGCACAATTGTTGGATATATTATCTTGTTTATGCACCGATGTAGCAGCATTCACTTTATAAGAAAAAAGAAAAGAAAATTGCAGATGTATCTATCCAGGAAGAAAACCAGAAGTCCAGAGTGCGAATGGCAAAGCTGGCATTGAAGCAGAACAGAGCTTCTCTGATTAGTTGTGCTTTCCTTTGATCCCTGAAAAAACTCAACCCTCCAGCATTCACAACTGGCAGCTGCTCTGCTCCTAATGAGAAATACAAAGGCTGTCTTGCCTTCCTCTTCCTTTCCTGTGCTCCACAATTCTTTACACTAGTCCCTTTCCTTCCTCCCCCAAACAATTGCTCAGTATAGAAATACCCCTTGAATACATGCTGCAGGAAGCATTTCCTACTCCTTTCCCCATCCTGCTCAGCACATGTTGAAGCCAACACCCACACTCATATATGCTCATAACTTCCCAGGGCCCCCTGTTGCCCTCTAGACAGGAATCAGAACACGGCACACCTGGAAGGCTCACTGGACAGGGACACAGTACCTGCAATCTCACAACACCTAAAAAAACCAAAGGGGGATGCTATGCTTCCCTCCCGTCTCATGCTGAGGAAATTACAACCCATTCCTTAAGCCAAAACAAAGGGACCACTTTCACAAGATAAGCTCAGGACTGTTTTAAGTCCCGGTCATTTTTTTTTCCAGAAACCTGAGGAAAAGACAGCCTGAGCTACAATTGCCAACTGCTTCCTCTCCCCACTCCTATGTTGTGAGCAGCACGCAGAAATGCAGCCAGATTAACTTTTTACTTCTATTTAAGGAAATGTTTAATTCGGTTGGATCAAAAAACATAAAACAGGGTTTTACAAGACTTACTACCATAGAGTCAAATAGGATTTTTTTAATTAAAAAGAGTGTATCTAAAGAAGTAATATGTGAACAACAATGTGGGCATATATATATTATGTAAGCATTCTTACCAGAGAGCCAGGATTGGCTGAAAAGAACCTGCTGTGTTTATAGAATCTTGGTTTCCTCCCATATAATGTGTGCTGTACAAAGGGGTGAAAAATGTTTCTATAATGCTAATAGTGCCGTCTTCTATCTACAATGCATCCCTCTAAAAGGTTTTGGGTAGTCTCGCTGACCTACAGGTGGACATGATGTTTGTGAATTCTGGGAACTTGTTGGTTAGATTTGGAAGGTGCTCTGGTTGGGGAAAGCTGTTAGATGGAGCAATCTCTGATGTATAGGGTTGCCAGGTGTCCACTATTTGAGTGGACAGTCCACTTTTTTCACGTTATGTTCACTATTTTTTTTCACAAAATAGTGGACATTTTTTTTATTCAAAAGCTTTATGATGAAATGGTACGTAATCTAAAGCTGTACAGTCTACTTTTTTTACTACTTAACCCCCCCCCCCCGCTTGTCCGCTATTTTTTGGAAGCAGACCTGGCAACCCTACTGATGTATCTAGTGGTCAAAGCTACAGCCAGCTAAATTTAAGAAGGCAACCCCAGACAACTCACATTCCTTCCCCTCATCTACTCTCTGCTCAAGCCTTCCAAGTGCCTTCCCCTAGTGCAGGGGTAGGCAACCTTGGCTCTTTTATGATTCGTGGACTTCAACTCCCAGAATTCCTGAGCCAGCATGGCTCAGCTTGGAAACCTCTCCTTTTCCCCTCAGCGTGCCTGGCTGAGGAATTCTGGGAGTTGAAGTCCACGAGTCGTAAAAGAGCCAAGGTTGCCTACCCCTGCCCTAGTGAAAGGGGTTATGAGAACCAGCCCGGTATTAATCACATGGGTTTAAAAAAATGTTACAGGCATCTTGAATCCTACAGGGTATCATAGTCACATCCCATCAAACTGACATCAAAGGTGTTTCTATCCCAATAGCACAAAAGTAAACAGTACAAATGTGCTGTTCCAATCCAAATGGATTGGAAAAATATTTTGCTACCAAAAAGAGTTTGCAGCTTAAGTTTAATCTACCTGATTTTTTTCCCCAATCCAAAGCTTTTTTACTTCTTTGTCAACTTTATGTTACTCAAAAAAAGAAGAAGAAGACTGTTGTGTGCGCTAGAATTTTGCATCTATTTTTGTGTAACCACTAAGCATTATTGAGTAAACTGTCATTGTCTGGCCATGAATATAGCTACCTTATCTACCTGCCAATATCTTTCTTAAAATTGGCCACAGTTGCTTCTATCTTATAACTTCAGATAATGGAACAAAGCATTCAGTAGAAAGAAAAGCAACCTTTCAATCATCCTACGGTTCCTCCTCTTGCTCATTCTGCAAAGAGAAGCCTATAAAGTTGGACTTTAGAACTGCAAAAAAAGGGCTTAGTTTGTTTTGTACTAATACAGGACACTGAGACAGTCAGTCCTTTTCAGATGGTCCAGCAAAATGAAGAGCGAACATGTGTACAGGAGAGAAAGTCCTATTGTTCCTGGGGAGATCAAAGGCTAGTTGTCCACGGATCGGTCACTTAGAGCCTGCTCTTTTAATGGCTCTAAGGTTGATTTATTAACTTCAAGTGTTCAGCAAGCAGAAAGATAGCCATTTCCTTTTTACTTTGATGCCTAAGGTTTCTTCTCTCTCCAGTTTGCTCCAGGCAGTCCCATCTGCAGAACATACTATAATTCTGCCTACTCCCAAGAAAAATACTATCTAATACTAAAAGAAAAAGAACAGAAAAAGCATAGAAACAAATTACAATAGCCCCAAATGTCCTTGATTATTCAGATCCAATTGCTTTACAGTTTCTTCTGGATTTTGGCAACTTGGGGGGGAAGGGTCAAAGGTTACTTGCACTGGTAAAATCTGGCAGCCCCTTGGATCACACTAGAAGGTCTTTAATGAAGGAATACGCCCTGCCCTATGGACCACAGGCTATTGCTGAGCTACTTCTTTAATTATTGCCCCACAGAACTGGGTTCCTCGGTGGTTTATTGACTTAGAACATCTAAAATAGTCTTAAAGAAAACGTTGGGGCAAACCTGGCACAGGGCTTTTCTAGGTAGGAGAGGCCTTAGTTGGGTGGAATAAAGAAAGTGGTGCAGGAATTCTTAATTGCTCTTAATTGGCCTTTGTCCTAATTTTGATAGTCAGCATTCTATTTCTTCTGTGATATGATCACTGGTAGACACGCAGCATAGAGGTGTGCCTAAAATGGATGAAAAGTGCCTTGTTCCATATGTTCCACATATGACATACAATTATGGCTTTGGTGTTTAGCCACAAAAGATTCTTTAGTCTATCTAAACCAAAATCAGGAACTTCTTGTTCTGGGTTTTAACCAAGACAATTTCTGGGCAGATCTGGGGGACAAGTAGGTCAAAGCTCCTTTCCCCCCCAATCCTCCTCTCAATGACCTGTGTACCAGCCCACGAAACGATTGTCCCACTGTCTTCCTTTCCCTTTCTTCTCTCCTACAGCAGATTCCAAATGCAGCAGACTCCAACTTGCCACATCAACTAGTCCCTCTACCAATCATCTCAGGGCCTTCATTCCACTTCCTTTGCTACACTTCATGTCATGCACAGCACAATCCAACCATTCATCTCCTCCTTCTGCCAATCTCCCCAGAGCCTGTCTTCCCCTGCCTATCACTGCCAGCTTTTCGGCACCCTCAATATTTAGACCTGAAACACCGATGACTGGATCTGAGTCTGGACCAAACATAGATGTTCCATATCCAGATAAAACATGCAACTAGTATATGTTGGTCCAGTTATGGACCACCTGAACTTGACAGTACTAGGCCCAGAATGATCTATACACTGAAGGTTCTGCACATCCTTAATACAGAGGAAGTTCTGTATAGTGACCCTGAAAAATAGCATATTATTCTTTATTTCCATTCAATACTAGTGTATTACTCCAAATTACAATGAACATACTGAAACTCAGTAAGCATTGCTCATTAAATTTCTAGCTTATTTATTCAGCCTGATTTTTTTTTAAGATTAAGAATCAAAAAACACATTTCACCAATGCCCAATTTTACAGTTGCCCACAATTCTATAGTTGCTACGACTGGAACACACAGCTCCAAATTTTAGTTCTGATTTTATTTATTTATTAAACATATATAGCCAAGGATTGCTATATTCATTAATAATACAAAGCATTTGTCTTCATTTTAACTGGCCTGAAACCAACTTTCCTAGCTTCTTAGATGCTAAAGGAATAGGTGGACTGACAGTGAACACTTATCCAACAATTCATATATGGCAGATTTCAAATCCTTCTCTTGGATTAAAAAATCCAAACATTTCCCTAACTGTTAATTTAGACTCTTCTAAAGAGATACCTTTGCAAAACCTAACCAGGACCCTATCAATATGAACTTTATCTTGAGATAAGACCAATTCAGTTTGTGGAAGAAAAAGGATGCCATCCATGGTATGCTCTTACTATAGCTTCCCATGGAAGGCTTGCTTGTCTTCCACAAACTGAATTGATTTTGTATGATTTTTTTTTAAAAGAAATCTTACGATTATGGGCATTCTACTCCCTACTTTCCAGATTTCTGCTCCAAACAGAACACTCTTCCTATTGCATCTAGTAATCTACATCCTTTTTGTAAAATTTCCTAATTGACCCCATTGTCTTAGTTGCATTTTATCACTGTACTTTGTGTCCGCTCTCCAAATAATGTTTTATTAAACACGTTCTAGTCGTTCCACAACTCTTTAAAAAACTGGCTTTGCTCCAAGGCCTGAGGATTGGGAAGTTTATGAGCCCCTGGTGGTTCTTTTGTCAGATTTTTGTAGTGTTGTGTTCTTCCTGGATATACACATATCTGTTCTCTACTTTATTATTTCTTGTTTTTGAGATGTCAGCTGCCTGGACTTGTCTGAATTGAACGAGTGAATGAATAAAATACTATTTCTAGATATTTATACTGTTTATACTGTTCAATAATGACTGAAATATTTGGAGTCATTTCCCCAAACTTCTCTTTTCTACACTTTTTTCTTTTTCTTTTAGTTTGCATTTAACCTTTTTAATTGTAACATTTAGTAAAATTCTTATTTAAAAAACTCTCCAAAAATCTTTTTGCGCTTAGCTGAGGAACTGAAGTATCAGTTTAAATACAAACATAGGCACTTCAATATCCTTCCTGACCTTAATCAACATTCAGCAGAGAATGAATTTCACTAGAAATGATGTAAGAGTCAAACAGGAGAGAGTGATGAATAGCCCTGCTACTGATTTTGAAAAAGAGCAAAATCTGGGAAAAATTGGTGCTCCAGTGCATTGTTGGACCCATTTAGTTCATTCTCTGTGGATGTTTAATAAACGTAAATGCTTGCTGACTTATATGAGAGAGTGAGGGGAACAAGATAGGAAGAGAACAGATGGGAATCAAGAGGCTATAACATGCAGGACTAGAGGAGTAATGGGTCAAAACAGCTTCTACGCTGTCCCTGAACTAATGATTTTTAATGATTTTTTTTATATAATACTTTATGCTCTATACGGTGTTATCAGCTAACCAATCATATCCAGGGACCCCATGCCAATGAACGCTTGAGCAGAACAGCAGGATGCATGTTATCCTTCTCAAGAGGCTTGCTGGGAGAAAGAAATGAAGATTCCTTCAGATTTCTGTGATGGAAAATACGTGAGACTCAGCAGGTCCACAGCTGAGCTAGGTCAAATTTCTAAAACTAATAATCATCATACATGTAGGTAATTGTGGACAGTATTATTACGCAGCATTTCCCAATTTACTTCTTTGGGGAAATAGATTTTACCTTGGTTTTCCCCAGCTTCCATTCTCTCTGTGTGTTGTCATACATCTGCAAAAAGTTTGCACATGTGGTTTTTGCACTGTCCGGGTTGCTCCAATTCTTCAAAAGCATTTTGTATCTGTAATAACCAAACAAATGCCCTTAATCAGAAACAAGTGTGAATCAAAAAATCCTAGCATTAGATGCAATTAACTGCTCTCCTTATACTAGTTCTTTTTTTTGCTTCTGAGTTGTGGTAGAACAAAAGGTCTTTTAACTAGCTCCATTAACTTTTCCAAACAATACAAGTGGCATCTGGGAAGAGGAACTGCAATAATTCTTAATGCTGCAAAGCATTACACATATAAAATGAAATTTAACCTGGTTGCAGAATAATAAATTCAGTATGCTTTTCAGGGAGGCGGGAAAGGAAAGGACGTTTAATTATTTTCCATACTTCAATTAAAGACAGATACTGTATATAAATGCCTCTGAACAGATTAAAAAGAGTATAATAGTACATGTGATCATTAACTGGCTTTAGGGAAGAAAAAGAGATAGGTTTGCTGAAACCCAAGGGGCAGAAGTGATTTTCTTAAGTTTCCTCTTCCATAGAAGCCAGTCATTCTAAACAATTATATTTGATTTCTCTGCAACCGCCCCATTCCTAGGAAATGCGCTGTCTCTACCTGCAGAGGAAATCTTGACAAAGACGGCGCACGGGAAAGCCAGCTCTCCGAATCTTCACTGTCTCTAGCATCCCTGAGTATCGCAGCTGTTTCAGCACAACATCTGGACTGAAGAGATTTGGAGCCTAAAGAGCAGTCAAGAGTAAACCAACCAAATGTGAGAGAGGGCAGCTTAGGTCATTTGCTTGTATGACAGATGGATTGCAAAAGTCATTCTTGGCATCTCAATTCATTAGTTCTGCATGCACATACATGTACAACGCACACACAAGCGCACACAGAGGAGATGAATTAAATATACAAAACAGTCACTAGGCTTAAGGAAAAATTTTTAAATGCAAGGTTTATCTCCCAACGTATTAAGAGGAAAGGCATTCAAAGAGTATTTGTGTTGCACACAGCAGCCTTTTTAGAAACTGGCCTTTTCTTCTGTATCTATTGTGCTAATCCTGGACACAAACTTCTTCTTCTAGGAATCCAGAATCCCTCAGAAAAGGAGAGACACCCTTTCCGGTCAGCAATGCTTCAACTTAGCTGCCATTCAAAATCATGGTGAATCTCCCTCCTCCCTTCCCTGTTCGTCCGGCATTCCCCACCTCCAGAGTGTCACCTTTTCCAGGTTTGGTTTGATGCAGCGAATGAAGAGTGGGTTGCAAGTGCTGAGAGTAGCCATTAAGGAATGTAAGGAGTCCTGGAAAAGAGCAGCAGATGTTACTTCTCTGGAGAAATTCATTCTCAGGACCAGATTTGCTATCATTCTCCAGTGCCTTGGACACATTTATAATTCTGATGTTAAAAAAAAAAATGAGAAGATGAAAACAAATCTACTGAGCATTAGCTGTCACATGGTCCAATATTTCCTACAGCTGATGCTCAGCCATGAAAAGCGTGATGAAACTGCTATAGAAGCACAATTGCAAAATACTGAAACATCTTTTGTGATATCTACAGAAGAAGTATTGCATCACATTCATTGGCTTATCACATCTCCCTTCCCAATCCTTTTAAGTTTTCGCAGCTTAAAAAAAATAAATGAAAAAGCAGAGCCTGAAGCATAGAAGATGCAGGCCTACAATCTGAATCCTCATCTACTTTGGTGGTACACCTCTTTGATTTACTGGATTTAAAGAAACAAAAATATATCTACTGAGATGTTTCTACAGGCGCTTTCACATGCACATTCATGGGCCTCCTGCTCCTACCCTAAACTGGGAGCTGACAGTTGGTCTGCGTCTCTGAGTTCCCAACTTCAGAGTGTCTTCACTGTTGCAGCTAGAAACTCTTTCAAAGAGGTCATAGATGAAATCCAGCCTGTGTGGAAAGAGAAATATAAGAGAAAGGAAAAGAGGCCATGGAACACTAACTTCCAAACCAGGAGCTCACGTGCTGCTGCTTCTGCTGTCTTAAACCAGGAAATGGATCGTTCTTCCCTAGTGATAATATATGAATCAAGAATGTCTTTGTGAAGTGCTAGAACAGTGGTTCTCAACCTTTTTAATGCCGTGACCCCAACCGGTCGTAAGTTGAGGACTAAACCGGTCGTAAGTTGAGGACTAAACCAGTCGTAAGTTGAGGACTAAACCGGTCGTAAGTTGAGGACTACCCAACCGGTCGTAAGTCGAGGACTTTCCCTGCCCGGGAGCGCCGCGCATGTGTGGTTCCGCCCCCTGCGCCGGCCGAGGCGTAGCTGGCAAGCGGCAGAGACGGAGCAGGCAGACCACCAGCTGGCCCAGCCCAAGGGAGGTGAGGCACCCACTGGAAAAGGGGAAAAAATGGCGGACAGCCTTGCTTGGCGACCCCCATGAAATGGTCGATCGACCCCAAATGGGGTCCCGACCCACAGGTTGAGAACCACTGTGCTAGAACTTAAGGGCAGATAAGCACCAAGACAAGCAGAGACATCTGACCATCTACAGGAGAGCTTGCCCTCCAGGAAGCATGAAGAGGTTCTGGAGGTCCGAAGTATCCCAGCCTACTAAATGGCCCAAGTGACTGCTAGAAACCTCTGCCCACATCCCATTCCAGCTCCATTATTGAGCACTCAAGGAGTGGCTCTCCCTATGCAAAAAAAAACAAAAAAAAAACACAAACTTTTTTTTACTCCTCCTCCTCAGCATTAGCAACTTAATTCTGCTTCACTGGAAATGGCTCTAGCTTCTTTACCTGCTATCCTTCAGCATGTTTACAATGTCATCTCGAAAGGTATCTCTGTTTTTTTCCAGAAAGCCTCTCACATCATAGAGGACCTATAGGTAACAATTTTAGACACAAATAACCAAATTTGCCATGCATGGACTCCCCCCCTTTTTTTTAGCAAATAAACATGACAAGAAAACAATTCATTTAGCTGTCCAAAAGACTATCAAAGCAAATGGAGATCTTTTTAATCTCATTCAGCTGCAGGAGCCGAACCAACACAGAGAGCTGGATTGGGACTCAGGAGAACCAGATTCAAATCCCAACTCAGCCATTAGGCTCACGATGGTACTCTGAACCACTTGTTGCTTCTTAGCCCAGCCCACCTCAATCAATTTTGTAAAGGGAAAACAAATGTGGGGGCAGGTAGGGAAGATGATGTGTGCCAACATGCTTCCTCAAAGGAAAGGCAAAATAAACATTTGCAGATAAATAATTCCATAACTCACTAGTTGTTTGACAAGCTGCCCTGTATTGACCATGGCCTATTTTCAGGCACTAATGACCAAAACCTCATCACAGAACCTGCCCAGGTGTGTGATACTCAAAAGCCACTTCTTCCAGAATAAAGAACCTGTGGCTTGAAGTACTCATTATGGCTATGCTCCCCAACCTGGTGCCATCCAGATACATTGGACTTTGATTCCCATGATCATCTAATCAGCACAGATGCCAGATCAGGAAGGGCTGCCTAGATTACACAGTCTCAAAGCAGGGAGCGTAGCTTGCACATTGTTGGACCGTATGTCATCTTCAACAGTTAATGAAGATATGAAGGGCAGGCATATAAGCCCCGAACACGAGAGTGTGTAAGAGCTTCTAAACTACAGCAAAACTAATATGCACTCTAGCCCTCAATAAGCCTATTATTTGTTCAAATTAAAGAAATCTGAGGCACTCTGGCTTTTTGCCCGCTGCAACCATAAAAATGCCTACTTTGAATTGCAGGCTAAGACCTTATTGTTCAAAAACTCTTGAATACTGCCAGCTTCCTCTCAGCTATAAAGCTAAAATGTACCTACTTCTCCAGCATAATGTTGGATCCCGAAATGGAAATCTGTCACTCGAGGCTTCATGTAATATTGGTTGTTCTGAAACAAAAGTGAGGGAAGTACATTTGTTATCACAGATGCACCTGAAGTAACATTTTCTAATCAAAAACCTTGCAATATCACAACCTGCAAACAGCAGCACATTGCAGAAATGGTGCAGGGCCACTTAACTAGGCACGGAGTATGCCATTTTACTTAATGAGATTGCCTCTAGTTACCATGACAATTTAGCCAAAAATAGATCATTGAAAGAAGAAACATGGCAAAGGTCTCTGGTAGCAGAATTCACATTCTGAGGAGCCAGGATGGATCTTTCTAGATCAGCGTTTCACAACCTTGCAATTTTAAGGTATGTGGACTTCAATTCCCAGAATTCCCTAGCCAGCATGTTCTAGATAAATGCTTGTCTCCCTGTAAACCAGGGTTCCTCAACCTTGGCAACTTTAAGACTTATGGACTTCAATTCCCAGAATTCCCCAGCCAGCATGTTCTAGATAAATGCTTGTTTCCCTGTAAACCAGGGTTCCTCAACCTTGGCAACTTTAAGACTTGTGGACTTCAACTCCCAGAATTCCTCAGCCAGCTTTGCTGGCTGAGGAATTCTAGGAGTTGAAGTCCACAAGTTTTAAAGTTGCCAAGGTTGAGGAACCCTGCTGTAAACTGTTCGTCCATTTTCCATCTAATTGGATACGCACTCTCTTCTCGATTCCTCGGGACACGTTCTTTGTAAAGTCCACTTCATGCCTTTTAAATTTTACCCTGAATAAAATAAACGGAACAAGGAAATCTATCCTTGCCTGAATTATTAACCTAATTTTAACTTCCACCCACTGCATCTTAGCTGCTTTTCATTTCTCAGGGTCATTTGCTTAAGAGAGAACTCTGTTTGCTTTGCCCTGAAAAGAGCTAATTGAGCTTTATCGCCTGAGCAACCTTTTTATCATATGACAGAGCTAGTGTAGAATTCCAGCCAAGGAAAACAGAAAAGATGAAATGTGAATTTCAGGTTCTGCTCGATTTCTCCTCCTGCACCCTTTTTAAAAATCCACATAGTTCTGATTATGAACGAAGCCAAAAACAGCCAAGTTGAAAGGGAAAAAAGTTTAAAATGTTGAAATTAAGTAATATTATATACCTGGAGGGTTTCTCTTTCCATTAATTACAGTATGTGTGACATTTTCTGAACTTTGAGACTATACCCTTCGGAATACTCTTATCTCCTCCCTGGCAAGTGCTCTGAAGTGGGGCTTTTTGCCTGACTTTCATTTTTCTAATGAAGCAAGCAAACAATCAATGAAAATTTGCAGATCTACATGTTATCAGTGGGCAGCCTCTGGGGAGGAGAAGCAACTCTGGCCCCATCGCAAAAGATCAAGTGTCCCTTCACAAGATATCCAGCCAGTGAGCCAAAATAGCTTCCCAAGTCAGGCCTGAACTTCCTAACTCTTCTCTGTTCATCAGATCCATGGAATGAAGACACAGAACTGGTTCCTGTTCAACATACACTATAATAGCTAGGTTATATTAGTGCAATACACTCTAATTTTGTAGCTATTTATAAAGAGTAAGCTGCTCCAAAATGCAGAGGACATGCCACTGGCTGATGCCAGTCACAGAGATAATTCTAGTGACATGTTTTTCCTAAGGCCAATTCCAGATCTGGTTTTGAAGTTTTATAGCTCTGAATGAGTCCAATGTAATTAAATAAATGTTTCCTCCTTAATATTTCTCTTATTTTGTTCATCCCATTGGACAGCTTGGCAAATGGCTAAGAGAGCTTGGGTTGCCTTTCTATTAAACCTTACCTTTCAAGAAACTCTGGTCTGATCCTTCCTTCCTTCCTTCCTTCCTTCCTTCCTTCCTTCCTTCCTTCCTTCCCTCTCTCCCTCCCTCCCTCCCTCCCTCCACAGTGTTTATCTCAGTTCTTGAAATGACTGAGCCCAAATTAAGCAGCTGAAAAATGCAGTGGTGTGTATGTATGCCTACTTACCCCATGCTGGTTGTGCAGTTTTTCCAAGAGGGTGCTGTCTGTGCCTTTGGGGAATCTACTCTCCTCGTTAACTAACGCCAGCAAGCCAAGTTTCTGCAATCACATTACAAGGAGAAAGGTAGACCCTTCACCACAAACAGCATAGTGGATTGCTAAGCCAAAGGGGTACTAGAGCTTTAGAAGAGCAAGATAGATACACTAAAATGGATTATTCTGGGTACTATAGTCAAATCTTAGTTCTAAAAGAGTTTAGAATTGGCTAAAAATAGTTGGCTTAAAAACCGTATTTTCACAGTTGTATTGCATTTGACCAAGCATTCTTACCATGCTGGGAGTGAGGAGTAGCCACAAGAATGTAACAATCCAAGGTTTATCCACGTTGGTTCAAATATAATTTTTTCTTTTTTTAAATGTAATTTTCATTTTAAGATTTAATTTAATTTAAAAAAAAACTACAGAAACAGGAAACAAAAGGTAAGAAAAGAAAAAGTGAAAGGTAACAAAAGAGGAAAAAAATACCTAAAGAAGTTACTTTCAAATTTCTTTGCGGCAGTTACAAACAGAATGATTGCCATCTTCACCCTTCTAAGTTAGAGGTCATTGTTCCCTTCTTCCCATAAAAAAGATCTTTCGAATAAATAAATTCTGAAATCACCAGTTCATTTTTATACATTTTCAGCAAAAAGTCCATAAAGAGTTTACAGTCTTTTTTTTTTAATAAAGATTCGATTGAGGTTTCAATGTGCAATGCTCATTATGGTTATTTTATGGAGCATTCATTATCTTTCTGTCAATCAACTTGTGCTTTATTTTCTCTCCATTTGTGTTTTCTCTTAACGGGGATGTTTCCCTTTGGCAGAAACACCCAAAACAGAACAGCAAATCCTGAAACGTACTTCCATTTTATAGATTTGAGCACTCGGCTGACATAAGCATTTGAGGCTTATTTCTTGTTCCACTCCCTCTCCTAAACACCCGGCCGTGAAGATTTGCATAACTGCATTTCATCAATGCTGGAATCCCAAAATGTTGATATCCCAAAGGACCATTTTGAAACCAGCTCCATGCTTCCCCTCTGCTTGGTTTTTTTTACTTTTCTCTTTTCAAAGAAGAAACAGTTTTGCTACGTTTGTTGAGAGATAGGAAAGCTGCCTGAAAATAAAAGTTCTTTACCCAAAATATGCCCAAATGATCATTCCAAATCTGAAGAGCAAAAATGAATAGGCAAAGTTTCTGCAAACCTTTTTTTATTAATGATTTTCAAGCCGCTGTTATCTAGAGGCAATCCTTTTGCATGCCCATCTATCTTAGTAACTCAGGAAACTTGTTACTAAAAATGTCATTGCAAAGATCAGCTTCTAAATTTAATTTGGTTACTTTAGGCCTCCTCCTCCTCTACTTCTTCCCCACCTTTAAATATATGTAACTCAAGTCAGTGAACATACTTAATATTACTGCCTATTTTCAACTCCACAGCAACTCTCCACAGCCACTCTTTGAGGATTGGGCTAAGAGAGTCACTAGCACAAAGTCAACCAGCCAGTTTTCATGTTAAGGAAGACCTAGAACTCAAATTCTAGGTCTTCGGACCCCTGCCAAACCTACAACCTGCACTACGAATATTCTCAACAATCTCTAACTCAAATTCTAGCCTAACACCTGAAGCACTGCAGCAAACTGGCTCTCTTTTTGCCCTATGGCATGCCACTCAAAGGCCAAGTAAGGCTTTGGAATACACTTATCGCTTAGGTTGTTAGCCAAGATGCCCCCAATCTTCTGGGTCTTCCGTGAGTCGTCTCTCTCTCTCTCTCTCTCTCTCTCTCTCTCTCTCTCTCTCTCTCTCTCTCTCTCTCTCTGTGTGTGTGTGTGTGTGTGTGTGTGTGAGAGAGAGAGAGAGAGAGAGAGAGAGAGAGAGAGAGAGAAAGAGAGAGAGAGAAAGAGAATATATGTGAGAGCTTATTGTTTTCTGCTGTTTTGCAACAAATATATAAATGCAACTTAATTGTTTTAAGTATTAACATTTCTAATCCTCTCAACTGAATTTAAATATTTCGTTGTGGTGCTTGTTCCATTTTAAGAACAAGGGGGGGGGAAGGAAAAGCAATACAACTCCAAAACAAAAAAAAAAGCCCACACAAAAAGACAAAAAAACAACCTGGAATTACAAATATATTTCAAGTTCATCTGATTTTATAAATATTTGTCAGGGGAAACTGTATTTTCAATGATCACCAAACCATTTTTCCCCAAAAGGAGAGATAATGAGATGTTTTTAAAAATATAGAGCAGTGATGGCGAACCTTTTAGAGACCAAGTGCCCAAACTACAACCCAAAACCCACTTATTTATCGCAAAAGGCTGCATCAGCATTGTGGTACCCTCAGGGGGGGCATGGGGAGCGTGGCCCACTGGGTTGGCATGGCTGCAGTGGTCACAGCAGACTGGGTGAGCGTGGCCGGGGCCAGTCCCTCGCCATCTTCAGGGCATCCCCGGGAGGCCACCACCGCTTGCTTGCTCACTTCCTGCTCTATCGCTTCCAAATGCCACGTGCTCGCTACTCTGGTGAACTCTGCTGGGGCAACGGCGCGCGTGCCCACAGAGAGGGCTCTGAGTGCTGCCTCTGGCACGCGTGCCATAGGTTCGCCACCACTGATATAGGGAATATAGCCAACAACCTTCTGATTTTCAATTGCTGCCTGGAACAGAGATTCACTTGTAAGGGACAGGTAGTAAACAAATCACACATTAAAAATGAAAGTGAAAGTAATCTATCCGGGACCCTCAAGAATGCAAGACTGTAATATGCTATGCATATATACATACGTCCTCAACTTACAACCACTCACTTAGCATTGTTCAAAGTTACAATGGACTTCCCTGGGTGTACTTACAACCCAGATTCAAATTTCTGACGGTTGGGGGTGGTGTTCATATGACCACATTTTACAATGGTTTTGCCAAAAACCAGTATTTATTTCCATTTTTTGGCAAAACTGTGCCAATAGCGAACCATTAGTTTACTCAATGATTACAACATTTGTTTAAGGTTGCAAAATTGGGTTGGACATGTGAGGAAAGCAAGATGTATGACCAAAATTAAAGTATTACAGTATCTCGCTACTTTTATTTGCTTTAGTTATTTATTTGTTCATTTGATTATTTGTTTATTTATTTATTGGCCACCCCACTCATCGAAGTAGTGCTAAATGGCTCACATATTAGGGTAAGAATAATCACAGAAAACAGAAGTAACAAATAATAATATTAAATAACCAGCTCAAAAATTTTAAATTAACATGATAGTCACCAGGGAATAAATCATTCCCCCAACTTGTTGGAAGAGCCAAATTTTTGCAATTTTATATAAGCCCCCATAGTTGGGGCCATTTGAACCTAAGAGGAGATCATGTTCTACAGGACAGGTACAGCTACAGAGGTGGTGTGTTTCCTAGGTTTCATAAAGTAATAATGCCTTACAGGTAGGACTTGGAACTTACAAACTCTGTCAGACTTTATCAATTGGCCAGAAAGGAGAAAGTTATTCCTATAGTTAAGTAGGCTGTAAGTCATGTGAGACTTTATAGATGACAACCAATACTTGAATTGCACCTGGAATGCCTCTGGTAAACAATGCAGCTTCCAAAGCAAAGATATTTTGTGGGCAAAGTGAGGGACATCCATAACTGCCCACACAAGTGCATTCTGGACCAAATGTACCATCCAGGGGTAGTCCCATCTATAGCATGTTGCAGTGGCCAAAGCAGGAGGTGATTAGTGCATGAATCACTTCACTTCCCAGATATTTTTTTAATTTGGCAAGCCTTATCCTCTGACAAGGCTTAATATTATTTGCTATTCACTTCAGTTTCATCAATAAATTAAAATAATTGTAGCAATAGCAACAGCACTTAGACTTATATGCCACTTCCCAATGCTTTACAGCCCTCTGTAAGTGGTTTACAGAGTCAGCATATTCCTCCCAGCAATCTGGGTCCTCATTTTACCGACCTCGGAAGGATGGAAGGCTGAGTCAACCTTGAGCCAGTCAGGATTGAACTCCTGGCAGTGGGCAGAGTTAGCCTGTAATATTGCATTCTAACCACTGCGCCACCAAGGCCCTTGGGTTGGCCTCTTTTTTTTTTTTTAAAAAAAAGAAATAGTTCAAGTTGATTTGGTCAACTCTCAACTAGACTCAGATGAAGTGGGCCATTTTATAAATTATCAATTTGGAGTCTGAACCAAATCTTGTGGCCTATGGATGTCCTTAACAGAAATGTGTCCTTTTATTCCAGTTCAAGGCTAACGCATAATTTAGACATTAAGACTTGGTGATCCTTCCATCTTTACCCACCCTACCTATTGAGAAGGACCTACCTTCTCAATAAGATCTAAGCATTCTGCATTATCCATCCAATCAATGGCTTCCCAGATTATTCCCTCTCTGCCAAAGAAAAATACAAAGCCAATTAAACACTCATTTGCAGAGAATGGTTAAAAACACAAATCACTGCAGTTACAGAAGGAAGAGAAAAATGAAGAAAGAAAGAAAGAAAGAAGCATCAATGTATGTAAAACTTCCAGTCAGTGAAGAAATGGGTGATACTGTACCATTTTCTTAATACTCTTTCCCATGGTAGAATGTATGTGACCAAACATTCTTCCTCCTTTAAGCAGCTTTCTCATCTTCTAGCCAAAAGCAAGAATGAGAAATGAAAATAAGAAATATCCCCAATGTTTGACAGTCTCATTTTTCTACCTGTTGTACTCAAGCTGCTCCAGGGAGAAGATATGCTTGTTGAAGTACTCTTGGAGCTTCTCATTTGCATAGTTAATGTTAAACTGTTCAAAACGATTTACCTGTCCATGAAAAAATAAACCAATATTAATTCCTTTCATCTTGATCCGGGGAAAATCCTATTTCCCTCAAAGATCACGAAGAACTGGGGAAACAAGGATAGGATGGTGGATGTGCTTAGACCTGTTTTTATCAGCCTATGCCCTAGAACAGGGGTAGGCAACCTTGGCTCTTTTATGACTCGTGGACTTCAACTCCCAGAATTCCTGAGCCAGCAATGCTGAGGGGAAAAGGAGAGGTTTCCAAGCTGAGCCATGCTGGCTCAGGAATTCTGGGAGTTGAAGTCCACGAGTCATAAAAGAGCCAAGGTTGCCTATCCCTGCCCTAGAATGTCAATTGATGCAAGTGTTGGCACAAAACTTCACAAAACATAGAATGTAAGATAGAAAACAAAGGCTATAGTAAGGCTTGAGGAAGACAAAAATAACCCAAACAAACATCAAACTCCTATGTGTGTTTAAGGCAACATTCATGCACATGTGCATATATACCCGAGAGACTTCTATTATAACAGACCACATAATATAATAATAACCTTCTGTCTTCCAGATTTATTGGGATTTCAACACCTATTAAACCCAAGTTATCATGTAACTATGGCTATATTAGTGACAACTGGCATTTGTAGTCCCAACATATATAGGAAGGCTGTGATAAATATTCATGCTCTTATGAATCACTACCGTAATACATCCCACAATTTATACAGTCATAGACCAAAAAACCTCCTCATTATCCAAGTTCCGGAACTCTCTTGAGGACCTTATCTTGCTGCTCATCCTCCCTGTGTCACTACCACCATCCCCTCCCATCTCCAGATATCATCTTATTTTTTTACATGCATCACTACTATCTGTGTCCATGCTACAATCTACAACAGCTTAATTTCTGACCTGGAAATTCTCAAAACCAAAGATATCCAAGATTCCCACAGATTTAAAATTTTCTTTCCCTTTGATCTTTGAGTTAATTTTCCCAATGATCCACGAGAAGCACTGTGAATAAAGGGCCATGGCAAGAGAGTCTCTGGAGTCAGTAGCCTAGGAGCAAATAGGGAGGAAGACATCTTATCACTTACCACGGTCATGCATGATGAAAAATGAATTGCATCACTTGAAAAAGAGCTCGCAAAAAATAGTAATGTTTTACAAGAACCAAGCTGAACTCAGGGTGATTTAATGGTTATATCTATTAAGCAGTCTTGGCAAAATACAAGAGTAATTTGTCACGGCTTTCTTCTAAGATGTTCCTTCAATTTCAACTTCCCAGTCTTGTCTACAGCCCTCCTAATTCCTGCTGGTCTCCCATCCAGCCACTAAGCAAAGTAGAGCCTGCTTAGCTTCCAAGCCAGACAAGGTTAGTGCTGCCATCTTTTGAGGCAACTGAGTGAAGCATATTATTAGGTGCCTCACCAAGTAGACATAACCAGAAAAACTTCAGGATCTGAACATGATTACTGGGAAATGAATTGTTAGGAGGAAAGACTGGAAAACCTAATGCCTACACTCCCCATAATGAACTGCTTCTCAGCAACCAAGCCTTCTCATTCCAACTAAGACTAGTTAGATTAAAGTATTACAAACTGAACTCTAATAAAGGAGAATATTTGTAGTTCAGGGTTGACATGAGGGGTCCTTGGTGCTCTCTGAGCTTGCTTGTTTTCTTGCAGACGTTTCATTACCCAAACTGGATAACATCATCAGTGCTAGTCTAGCTAGATATTACCTAGTCTGCAAGAAAACAAGCAAGGTCAGAGAGCACCAAAGACCCCTCAAACTGAAGTCTTTTGGTATCTATTTTTAATTGAAAAATCTATACACTTAGAAGAATAGGCTAGTTTTCTCCCTAACACACAGAACCTTTCCCAAATATGCTACTCAGTTGCTCACCCCTCCGTTGCTGTTCATGTAAGACTTTACAATTACTTCTTAAGCCATTATTTGTGAGAACTAAGTTCTAAGCTAGATAGCTCAAACATATCATTACTGTCTATGTGTGTGAAAGAGACTGAAGATATCCATAATTTTTTTGTCCCAGAAACCTAAAGGATCCTTGGATCCTTTTTCACAGGAAGTCATAATCAAGAAACATATCACAACTATTCTGAAGTCTAAATGTCATATCGGAAGCAATATATATTTACTATACCATTATAGAATGTTAAAAAAAATGGAAAAAAGAAGTATGATGCCTTTAAGAGCCTCCCTCTACTCCTTCTAATTCATTGGTTGCAATATATGAAAGTAAAGGAAGAACTGGGCAAAATTATTTGACATGTTTCTAACTAAACATTATTGAAGATATATGGGGGACCAGGTCAGGATAGCTACATATTCATCCTAACATATATTTAAGGCCTCAGCTAATTCTTTTAATGAAGTACAAAGACAAGGGGAACCCTAGTGGTCAGACTGCATAGTCCTTTAACATCTCAGTTACATCTTTCAGATTAGTGCCTGTTTTTCCACACCCAGCAGTGTGACACAAGCAGGGGCAGCAGAGACTCAAAGCCATAGGCATTCTGTCAAAGCCTTCATTGACTTTATTTAGCTCCTTCTGCTTGACATACTCCAAATGTCAAAGTTTGGAATGGTAATGAGCTTTGAGTACAATGGAAGCTGACTAAGATCTCCAACCTTCTCTGCCGAGAATGGTATTTGACAACAGCTGACTACTGTCCCTGGAGGGAGAAAAGGGGCATTTAGAAGCAGGAAGCCTAATTAGCAAGAAAAGGTTACCTTTACTATTATGAACCCCAGCTTCCTATTTTTGTACCAGTCAATGATGGGAAGAGTTATGCATGATACCCTCTTGCTCATATTCACGTTCCATACAAGCACTGAAGCTAGACTTTGGCATTTTTGGAGTCTTAGTTTTTCAATGCAATTAGTCCATTTTAGGAGCTAAATAAAGTATGTGTAGGAATTAAGCAGACCGTGGCTAGACTGGGAAAATGAAAAATGCTCCAGAAGAAGGCAATGATTAAATATTTCCATATTTCTGTCAAGCAAACTACATGGATGTGTTTATAAATCCACCAGACGTCAAGCTTGACTCAAGGAGCTCTTGATTTTCATCCTCAGGTAAAGAGCTAGAGCTCATTCAAACCTTAAAAGAATTCTCTGACTTCCTAATGAAATACTTTGGACTCTTTTTTTTGTTTAGAATTTACAACACGTACAAAATCTGTGGACTTCTCCATTTATTTCATGCAACCTGGAACCTCACAAATATCAGAGCCACAAGATAGTGGTCCATGTCAACATTGCCATGCTATATATTAATAGGAAGCTTTTACCAGCTAGATCAGGGATAGTCAACCTTGGCTCTTTTATGCCTTATGGACTTCAACTCCCAGAATTCCTGAGCCAGCTGTGCTGGCTCAGGAATTCTAGGAGTTGAAGTCCACGAGTCATAAAAGAGCCAAGGTTGACTACCCCTGAGCTAGATGAAAGCAAGCAATAGTGTTGGGGTCCTGTTGCTTTAGAACAGGGGTGTCAAACTCAATTTCACTGAGGGTCGCATCAGCATTGCAGTTGCCCTTGGGGGGCCGGGTGGGTGTGGCCAGAGTGGGTGCAGCCTACTGGGTGGGTGTGGATGGAGTGGGTGTGGCCTACTGGGTGGGCGTGGCCAGTTCTACATCATTTGCGTCAAGGGTGCCTGTGGGGGCCTGGGCAGGAGTGGGACAGATCTGAGGGTCTCTGGCAGAAGGGGGTAGGACCGGGGCAAGTGCCAAGGCATGGTCCACTGGGGCAAGTGCCAAGATGGCCACCACAAAATTGTACATTGGCTCCCAGCTGGCCTGGGCCAGGGCCAAGGCAGCCGGCGCCATTCCCTCACTGTTTCCAGGATGGCTTCGCGGGCCACATGAAACCACTTCGCGGGCTGCATCCGGCCTCCGGGCCTTGTGTTTGACATGTTTGCTTTAGAAGAAGGCTAATGATGAGAAAGATGCACCATCCCATATCCATATTGATTCTCAGCCAACACCTAAGCAGAAATTTTTTTCTAGTATAAATAGGTTGCATCCTCTAAAAAGAGTTTTTACTGGTTTTCAGGAGTGAGTTCTGTAAAATCCATCTATTAATTTTTTCATAAACGTTCCACATTTCCTCACTTACATTGTGCAACATCCATGACAATGGTCCTCTCAACAAAGCTGATTAACCCATTCTCTCCTCCATTCCAGTACCTGCCTTTATTACCCAGGCTTATTCTTAATTCAGGAAGCACTAAGAATATTCCAGGAATCCTTCTCTTCTGGGAATAAGTAATATATCATCAAATCAAGGCATTCCTCAAGTGGCATTTCCCTTTAATACTCATAGGAATGCTGCCATCCAGGGGCAATCGCCCTTCATAACAAATATGAACTGCAAAGCAGCTAATTACTAACTCACCTGTTCCACAGTGAGGGGAGAGCTAATTTCTTCCCCACGTAGAAACATGGATCTTTGAGTAAGTACTTCAGACAGCTGGAAGGTGTCCAAGCCAAGCAGTTCACTGATGTTATGCAGCACTAGGAGACAGGACAATTTAGAACTGACAATAAGAGGTGTTACTTCTCTTTCTGATAGTAAGCATAAATTACACAAACTTCTTCACAAAGTGGAAACTAAGCAACAACGGTGAAGATCTTATGCAGCTCTGAAATATTTACTCTCCCAAAACTTCATTGAGAGATCCTTGTTCCTCAAGGAGGGAAAACCCAGAATACGGTTACTTGGCACTTCAGAAGGGAAGAAAGTTGCTCCCAATAATGTATACTCTTAAAGACAAACCCTTCTTTTCCACTTTGGTGCTAAACTACCCTATTCATTTGCTAAGCAACTAAATGAAAAAAGAACATTGGTCTACTGTGACAGGGAAGCACATTTAACAGATTGGTTAGGCAACACCACAAAGGCAAGATACATACATATACCCTTTCATAAACCAAGTAATTTGTTCTTTTAAATTGTGTTACACTGGAAAATAGCTCTATTCCTGGGAATTCATTTACCTGTTAGCAATGCAGGAAAAATATAAAAAAGCCATAATAGTCTACTTGCTTAATTATTGCTATGCACCAAAATTATGAGGGAAGAGCAGATTCCAGTTGAGGATTCATTCACAATAAGCATCACGTACCCGTTTTTGTGGTAATCTGAGCTCCTCCAGCAGTCATGAATTCAATGTTTCCAAGTTGTAGAATGCCAGATATAAGTTTGAAGATATCTCTGATCTCTTCAGAACTGAATCCCATAACTTCAAATGCAGTCTGTTCAAAACACATTCAGAATCATTATGATACCTTCAAGAAGCCAGGTGTTTCTGTACAGATAGCTACTAGTGCGCTTCCAGTTACCTGACACTATTATGTTTAAAAAGATTATGCAAAATAGCACTGGGGAAAAAAAATTCCATAAAGGAGGAATCACAATAAAAGCCTTGCTTGGAATAATGGCTCTTACTTTGGTTTCAGATGATAATTCAAAAGCTAAGCTAGTACATTCATCTTCTCCATAATGTATAAAGAAAGTTCTCTGTACATCTGTGCATCCTCTGTAAAGATGTTCTCTATACATTCTCTGTAATGATGTCATAAATTAAAGTTAGATAGCCAAAACCACTTAGTAGGAAGGAGCACTACAGTATGTAGTGAAATTTACTTTCAAGAGGTTTAAGGAATATGCTATGTAACTCTCAATCGTGTGGAATGGAATTTTAATATTTCAATAATACCAAAAAGTATCATAGCTCTCATTCACATGTTCCTAAATTGTTATTGCAACTGTCATATTTCTTGTGAAGAGCAAAGATAAGTTATAATATAATCCTCATGGTATATAGGGGTACCAATTTATTTCCAAATATTATGGCCAAATAGTAATTGATGCAGTAGTAGAGTCATTGTACAACTTGCTTCCTTGAATAATTCTTAATCCCTGCCAACAAACTGCCAGAATATACATTTGAAATTATCCTTAGAATAAAGGAAAAGGGGGGGGGAAATATCAGTCAAACCTTTATCCTTTTGTTCTCCTTTTTTTCTTAAACTGAAACTTATTCTCAACATTTTTCAGTTACATAGGTAGCAAACAGTCAAACAACAAATATTTGTCATGCTGCTTCATAAATATTACAATCTGATCTCAATTTATTCAGCTATTTTTTTCTTTTTTAAAAAAACCCATAACGCTAGCAATGGTATGGCTTCAAATTTTGGGATTCCAGTGTTCCTGATTTTTTTTTTCTGGAGATAATGAATACTTGAGCTTCTACAGATTTACTGAATCACATACAGGAATAATTATTACAATAGAAACTGATCATAACTGCATCTTATTAAATGGAGGATTCATACTTAATGGTTTTTAGATCTGCAAGGGAACTGTAATAAGATCCACTTATTTTTTGAGGCATTTGATTAGAATAATTCCCTCCTAATCCCTCCCTTTGTATGCCTGTTTCTTGTCCCTATTCCATTGCCTACTTTTGATATTCAGCTTCTATGCAGGACTTTGCTTTTAAAGCACTCTATAAATAATAAATGCCTGATTACTTTATCTCTCACTTTCCCCACCTTGAAAAATAGTATCCAGATTTTTGCAGACTAAATGATTCCCTTACATATTTCCCCCAAGTAAAAAGGAACAGACGTGATAAAGCAGGCATTCAAGAACCAGAAAGACAAAATACTGGTGGGAAGATGAGATTTGTCTTCAAATTACATTACTTCAGTCTAAATAGACTCTTAATTGTCATTAAACAAAGCACATCATTATCAGGCGCCACATTCAAGAATGCAAAACCCTCTTGGCCTATGGGCATTTTGCTCCCCCCAAACAATCTGTCTTCATGAAAAGACATAACTGGTACATTTTTTTTTAAAAAAAAAGTGGGAGCAGAGAAATCCATCCATCAAACTTTGCCCAGAATCAAGGAAGAGACTCACCATAACCTTGCTGAACATGTCTCGGTCATCCAGGTCCTCGTTAATTATACAGCCAGACTGGCTGAGGTATCGATAATTCTTGGGTTCCAGCAAGTGGAGACCTTCTGTAGAAAAGCAGCTCCCAGAAGGAGAAATAGAACACTTAAGGACCAGAGTGGAAAGGCAGAGAAGAGATGCAAAAGTAATGGACGTAGAGAAAGGAGACCAGCAAACATGAGGCAAAGGCAAACATTAAGCAGCTTGCTTTTTAAAAAATATATATTCTGATCCCCAAAGTGGCACATATTAACACTCCCAGTTTAACCCTGCAGGATGAAACAAAACACACAAAACAGTAGACTGGTTAGCCGTGCATGGCCAACACTGCTGAAATAAATATCTTGCCTACAGGGAAATAAAACTGATGTAGAGAAGAGAGGATGGTCAGGTGTTCTACTTCTGGGGAAAATCCACTTATACGGTCGCTAAAAGTCAACACCCATTTGATGGCATAAAATCAGTCCATCAGTTAAAGTGTTCCTCTGAGCAAAAGAAAGAGTTGATAGGATTCTGCCTATGGGGAAAGCATTGTTACATATAAATGTATGAAAGTGAGACAAATAGTTTTCTTTGGTTTCTTTTAATGAATACCAGCCTTGGGAGGACAGCATCTTCAGTTTGAATGTACATTTTTTTTCCTGGGCTGGTAAATTCATCTGGAAAGAGGATGAATTTTGAGTGAAAAATCTTCGTAGTAGATAAAGGATTCATGCATCTATTCTTGCTGCAGTTGCTCAAAATGTGACTCGGTGAAGCTGCCTTCATTTAAGAATGACAGGTTTACCTTCAAGGTGAGAATACGGTCTAAACTAACCTCTATCTCATAGGCTACAATATTTTCCAGGCACTTAATTGGAAAACACCTCTAAACCTACTTATTGGCATGTTAAAAAATACAGTTGCAAATCTGCAATACCTTCCTGATTATTCTGTCAGTAGAATCTCCATCAGAGGCTGACCAGGGGAAGAATCAGATCTTTTTCCAATGTTTTTTTCCCCATCATTACATATTATAATACTAATTTCAGTTTGATTTCCACAGTATTTGACATGTGCTTGAGGGATATCCATAAATAATGCTGGGACATGAGCCTTGGTCATGAACTTTGAGATCTATCAGCTTAAATAGGCAAATCTCATCCATTACATGAATTTTAATGTAAGTCCACAAATAATTCTAGTAACATTTTCCTGTTACCGAAGCAACATATTGCTTTTCCTATAAATCTACAGCTATGGTAAATATAGCATATTAAGATGGAAACAGGCTTTCAGATACATTTATCTGAACATATTTATAAGACAGAGCAAAGCAATAGAAGAAAAAGGTAACTGAGAAGACATAGCAGATTACTGTAGCTGACAGACTCATTCCATCTTTTTTAGGAAAAGAAGATAATTCTGGGGGGAAAATCACCCTGCAAAACATCCAGGTTATGGGAATTCAGAGCAAGAAGGGATGAACTGCAGGTCAGGGCACATAAATTAACGGCTTCATTTTCTCTATTTTCCTAATTCCACTTAAAAACCAAGCAAGGATTGATCTTAGTTGCTATATTTGCTGACACCAAGATGCTATAATCAGACCTGATTATACATTGGTGAGTCTATAGGATTCACAGAGAACTGGTAGCCAATCAGTTCTGCCTTTCCTAGCCAATAGCAGGATGCAGAAAACATTCAGCCAATCTGTGACGGCTTGCTGGCTAGTAACAGTATCTTGTCTGGTCCCTTGATTTGCATACCTAAACATATTCTCTCTAGTAATAGCTGCCTGGAATGGCATGTCCTACCTAGTCAATGGACAGAAAATGATTGATATGGGGATATTTTGAGAACTTTGGTCATTGCTCAGTTTTGGTATACTGTAATGCAGTCAGTGGAGGAGTAATCCCATCTCACCACTGGAACTTGGAACTGCACCACTGTTTAGAAGAGAGCTAAGATGGGAAATATAATCAGATGCAATACTATCACCAGCCCTCTTAGCCCCTCAGGTATCGCGCAAAGCTTAAAATAGAAGCTGGATTAACAAATTTGAGGCTCCCTTGCTTTCATTTCATTTGCAAGAAGAATGAATTACATAGACACGGTCCAGAGTGGTGATAGGATCATTATCTTGCCTAGAGACATGGATTTCCTTTGACCTTGGATAAAGTGGGATAGGATGCTCTATAGAACATTCTCGGTCACTGGTGGACTAGATCTATGCCTCTCCTTGCTCCTTTGTGCAAATGGGGAAGAGGTAACTTTCTGAATCCAGGAAATTGTTAATGTCTCACTGTAGGAGGGAATGATGCTGCTGGCCTTGTAGGGGCTGTGGTGCAGCCCCCCCCCTAACTAAGGTGAGCTCCTCCCTGGATCCAGAGCTGTTAGACCATTACTTGGCCTCCATACTTCCGTTTTCGGCAAAGGTTGATGATGTGGGGGTTGGGAGTCAACTGTGGTGCACTCCAGAGGAAATAGATTACATGGATGCTTTTGAGTCAGGCTTCAAGCTTCGAACATGGAATGGAGACAATATGGGTTACATTAATGGGTTACTTTTGTCAGGACCTAGATGAGAATAGTGCACCCAGTCTTTTGAACCTCTCAATGATCTTTGATACCATTGGCCATAGTTTTCTTCTGGATTGCCTATGGGAGTTGAGGATTGGATGGTTCTGCTCCCCCACCCCCGTGCTTGATTCTAGTAACTAGCAGCCGGGAAGGAGAAGTTGGCCTGGTAGATATTCTCTTGTAAGGTGCCACAGAGGTTGGACTTCTTTCCTCTCTTATCCTCTAGCAAGATAGAGTGTCACGGTTGAATTGCTAAGATGCTTGCTAATCTCTATAGCTGCTCAACCTGCCACAGAAACAGGGGGGAGCAGGAATCTGGGAAAGAAATGGGAGTTTCAGGAAGCCATCCATAGACTGTGAGAACCAAGGTCATCCAAAGCAGGTGTCTGGCAGAGAAGTGGATCGTTCCCTTAACAAACAGAAAGAATGTGATTGGCCAACGTGAATGCATGGTGGGTGGGGGTTAGGAAAAGCTATTGGTAACTAACCAGAACTTTGCGCAGGAAACTTATAGTTGATTTTACTTCTTCAGTGCCGGGATGTGTATTCAATAAAAATGTATCTCATATGGCACCTCAAGGTCATGGAGTTTCTTTAATGTTGAATTCGCCACTCGGAAGATTGACATAGAGTTACTGTTTATCAAGATTCTCTGTCCAGAGGTATTTCATTAGGCTATATCTGAGGAAACAAGTCTATAACTTGAGGGCGGGGTGTCCTTCTGGGACTTACAGCTCCTGCTTGAATAGCAGTTATAGGTCATGGTGCACCTATTGTTGTTCTACTTGGAATGGATTCACAGTCTTGTCAGCAGCTATTTAGACCAGAGGTCCCCAATCTTTTGGGCACCAGAGACCGGTTCCATGGAGAAAGGTTTTTTTCGTGCATCCCACAGGTGGTGCTTTCCTTGTTTGTGTGGACTGGTTGCTGGCATGCTGCGGCCCGGTACTGATCCATGGACTGGGGGCTGGGGACTCCTGATTTAGACTACTGCAACATGTGCTACATGAAGACTATTTGGAAGCTGAAGTTGGTTCAGGGTACAGTGGCTCATATGATAACTGGCATTTCCAATAGGAACAGATTACATCAATGCTGTAATCCCTACACTGGTTATCAATAAGAATAATGGCCCCAAAGCTGTAAAAAACCTCTCAGTTTTGAAATACTTCCAGAAGGCAATTAGGGTGAGAGCCAACTGAATAGCTATTGGGAGGCTGTTCCAAAAGACCAATACTATCATTCAAAAGCAACACCACTGAACCTTGCCACCCCCACTCCCCAATGGTTTCTTCCAAATAGAATTGGGCTGGTTCCAGTGGGAGAATGCAAATCTGTAGATCATTTGCACCAAGTCATTTGGGATTATTGTTAGCACAGCCACTTTAAATTGCATCCACTGCATAGCAATGAGCACCTTTGGGAAGTACTATTACCTCTTTGTTCCCCGCTGACACCAGCTAATAATGCATAGAAGATATGATAATTACGTTCTCCTGGGTTCTGGTGAACCACTCTGTTCTGTAAAAGGAAAACAGAAAGCAAGTTAGCATAAACTCAATACACATGAGTAACACTCCCAATATTTATATGCACCAAGTTTGGGTGTTTTGAGGAAAATGAAGCAAGTTGGGTTCACAGCCTTTTTACTTTACCACCAATATACAAAAATCCTGAACGGTGCCCACATTTTTTTCATTTAAATGGGCAGATATCCATGCAGGAAGGAGTAAGGGTGTGGGTCTATACATATGTTGTATATAGTATGTTAGGTGTGTGTCATGTATGTGTTCACTTTGAGAGCGGGCAACTAAATTTCATTTTTGATGTGTGCCGTTGTGCCCACAGTAAAAAAAAAATGACAATAAAGGTTATCTATCTTATCTAAATTCCACATCACAATCATGGTCTGTTATTCTTCCCTGTTGTGTATCAAACTATGTGCTTCATTAAAAGTAAACAAATTTTTGCATCTTTGGTAAAGAATGAAAACTTGCACTATCTTTCATCAAAGTTTTCCTACGGCTGTACCTACACAATAGGGGCTGTAAAGCAGGCTGGTTTGTTTTGGTGAATGTGTTCATGCTGCCTCTTTGCTTGTTTCATCTAGATCAGTGGTTCTCAACCTTTTTAATGCCGCGACCCCAACCGGGTGTACGTCGAGGACTAAACCGGTCGTAAATCGAGGACTAAACCGGTCGTAGGTCGAGGACTACCCAACCGGTCGTAAGTCGAGGACTTTCCCTGCCCGGGAGCGCCGCACATGCGTGGTTCCGCCCCCTGCGCCGGCCGAGGCGTAGCTGGCAAGCGGCAGAGACGGAGCAGGCCGACCACCAGCTGGCCCAGCCCAAGGGAGGTAAAGCACCAGCCGGAAAAGGGGGAAAAAAATGGCAGACAGCCTTGCTTGGCAACCCCCGTGAAATGGTCGATCGACCCCAAATGGGGTCCCGACCCACAGGTTGAAAACCACTGATCTAGATCATCATTTTGCAACCTTAGCAACTTTTAAGATATGTGGCTTCAACACCTAGAATTCCGCAGCCCAGCCAATATGCTTGCTGGAGAATTCTGGGAGTTAGACACACATCTTAAAGTTGTTGAGAAAGTTGAGAAACCCTGATCTAGTCATTAGTCTCTGCCTGCCTGACTGCAAGCAGAAGGGGAAGTATTTTAGACTCTCATATGCTTCCTTCCAGAAAAACGTTCCTTTGACTTTTTGAGTCCTAAAATAAAATGCACTGGAAATGAGGAATGCCTGAATCAAAGCAGGGCGTAGCTGTTCACACTGAGCAACATTAATACAACAGAGAAGTTGTATCCTGGAAAAGAGAAGCGTGCTCTGGAAGCTTGTTTCTGAGACGATAAAGAATTAATTAGAAATGAAACTAAATAAAACATTTGCCAATTGCAAGGGGCATAATCTAGTTTTGTTGTGAATACATTGGTGCTAGATTCAGTATCATTCCCTGGCTGCTTCTGCATCATTCATATCAAGAGGAGTGTTGGGAAAACAACACAGAACAAACTTCACTCACCTTTTCCAATAAATCTGAGCAAGAAGTTAAGAAATAAATGTCATTAAGACTCTCTTATAAACATATTCTCTGATAGCTGGCAAGTCATCTTGGAAATGAATATTATTGTACCTAAACATAAGAGATGTTTTGTTTCCTAAATCTAAGGAGTTAAACTTTGCTGAACTTTGAAAAAGAATAAAGCAATTGATGGAGAGCTGGGAGAGTTCCATAAAAAGCATTTATAGTGTAATCTCTCCGCCCTCATTTATGGAATTTTCAGAAGGCTACCTCATCACTGCCATCTATAAATTAACTGTACAGATGATTTATTGGTTCCATTCTTTTTTAAACTAGAGATGAGCAATATCTGAAGAGCTGCCATTCAAGTTAAGGATACAGTCTGTGACCCTCCCTCCCTGGATATGTCCGTGCTGGGAAAAATGTAGCTGGATGAATTTGCCAAAACGGCTAGAATTGTTGTTATAGACTGTCTTGGCATTTCCAAAAGCTTCCAGGACTGGGCTTTAGTGGAAAAAAAAGGAAAATTAGATTTGTTTGGCAGAAATATTAGATACGTTTACACAGAATACATTTTTCAACAATACAAGCCTGGTTGTATGATATAGAGCAGTGATGGCGAACCTTTTAGAGACCGAGTGCCCAAAAACTGGCCCCTCCCCCGCTCCACCTCCCTGCTCCGCCCCCGCTCCGCCCCCCATCCCACCTGCCCACAGGACCACTCACCGCCTCCAGGGCCCGCCGCAGATCACCCAGACAGCCCAGCAGCGCTATGGTGGCCACACCCTCTGCCCGCATCCTGCAGCATCAACTGCATGATGGGATGTGAGGGCAGAGTCTTGTCTACACTGCCTGGCTGCCATGTCCTTGGCTGCGCTGCTCCATGTGGGCCACGCTCGAGGGCGACTCTCCTTCAGGGGGGCTGCTGGAGAGGAGGGGGTCGCGGGGGGAGGCAAGGCTGGAGCAACGGCATGTGTGCCCACAGAGAGGGCTCCAAGTGCCGCCTCTGGCACCCGTGCCATAGGTTCGCCACCACTGATATAGAGACCATTTAGATGTTGACAAAACTTGCCTTTTCTCAGAGCTCCTGTGCAACAGAGCACACGAAAGGGAGGAATAAAAGCTGCACCCTTGGACTGTATGCCCCCGATACTGAGGATGTCAAATGTCACGTCATTCTCATGATGTGGCTCTTCAGAAACAATCTTCCCATTGCCTGCCCACACATAGGAAGCTCCTTTTACCTGCTCTCCAGGATAGCTTCCTCCACGTGGGTTGTCTTCTCCAAAGCAGAGCTACCCAACGAGAACTGGCTCATGGCTGACAGAAACTTTAGCAGCAACTTGGTACTCTCTGTCTTTCCTGCTCCACTTTCTCCGCTGTTAATAGACAGCCCAAGACAAGCAAATCAAGGAATTCATAATGCCAAGAATGAGTCTTGAAGTTTTTCCACCCATCTTTCAGTACCAGAAGTGGGACAAATTGGGAAGGAGCAGCTTCTGGCCTCATTACTTCTCTCACCTGATCAGAATGCATTGGCTGTCATGACGCCTCCAGAGGCAGCTGTAGCACTCACTGGCGGTGGCAAAAATGTGAGGGGGCAGCTCCCCCAGGCAGTGCTGTCGATACAAGTCAATGGCGGATGCATCGTACAGCCCAGCAATGGGTTTGTAGGGATTCACAGAAACCAAGATAGAACCGATGCTTGTCTGAAAGGGAAGGCAAGGAAGGCAAAGCAATTCTTAAAAACGGACAATTTGGAAGGAAGTGTGTTTTGTGAAATTAACAAGGTAGCTGAATGCTAGTTCCAAAGAACATGGAGGCGTTGGAAGGGAGGGAAAACATTAAAGTTTCTGCCTTTGTTTGCTCTGGGAAAAGAGATCTTAGATTGGTCTACTGCAGTGGTTCTCAACCTTTTTAATGCCGCGACCCCCAACCGGTCGTAAGTCGAGGGCTAAACCGGTCATAAGTCGAGGACTAAACCGGTCGTAAGTCGAGGACTACCCAACCGGTCGTAAGTCGGGGACTTTCCCTGCCTGTGAGCGCCGCGCATGCGTGGTTCCGCCCCCTGCGCCGGCCGAGGGGTAGCTGGCAAGTGACAGAGACGGAGCAGGCCGACCACCAGCTGGCCCAGCTCAAGGGAGGTAAGGAACCCGCCGGAAAAGGGAAAAAAATGGCGGACAGCCTTGCTTGGCGACCCCCGTGAAATGGTCGATTGACCCCAAATGGGGTCGCGACCCATAGGTTGAGAACCGCTGGTCTACTGCAAGTAAATCCTGAATGGGAGATCTCACTTGCATTTTCCATTGTTACTGTATGGTAGGATCCAGCAACCTTTATTAGAAATGCTGTAGAAGGGGAGGGGTGGTTTGAGATTAAGTGAAAAACCTTACCTGAATACTTAATACACGTGGTAACTCTGGTGTAGAAAAGAACAATATGGGCAAAATGTGTGTTTCTGTGTACACATATGTACCGGTATATAGGTGTGAACAGGCCTTGCCACCCAGCAATCAACTCACCCAAAGCCTGGTGTATTACCGTATGTGACCTCCAATTAATTCTTCAATAACCAAGAGAAATTGGTACCCATGCTCCTATATCAACTTTCCACAGTTTTATGCTTTTCTAATCTATGGAACTAGAGGTCCTACCAGCGTAGCTTAAGTTATAAAATTCCCCATATTCTGTTACCACCTTTCTTAATATAGTTGGCAGAACTATGGGTAATTATGCAATTAGACTGTACCCTAGTTGCCTCTTTCGTGTTACATAAAGAATAGTGAAGTATCCAGAAGTCAGGCACCCCAATCAAGAAGAAGAATGAATAAAGATTTGGATTATTAAGAAAAAAAAGAGAGGCCATTAAAGAATAAATAGAAAGCCTTCTTCAGACTTACAGAATATCAAGTAATGAAAAGAATGATTCACCCTCTTGTTTCCTTATGGTATTAAAAATGTAACTGCAACAAAGCTGGTAGTTATTACAAGTTTATTTTAATGTTTTTCCATACAACCTTTCTTAATATACTACACTCAAAATACATGTGACTGCAACTTTCATCATCCCTCAACTAGCATGGCACTACTCTTCACCACTTGAAAAGATATTCTCATGTTATTCAGCACACTTTTTCCACTGAAATATAATTTTAAATTAAAGATCTCAACAGGGAGCAGAACAGGACATGAAAGGAACACCCATCAGCCTCATGCATTCATCCTATGACCAAGTCATGAGTGGCAACTTCCCCTATTAAACTAAACTATCTTCGGACTCCATGACAGTAGTCATAGCTATGGCCTAAGTACTTGAGATCTTTAAGTTATGATAACTTTATTAAATCTGAAACAGTCAAAAGTGTTCTTCTAAAGTGCTCTGGGATTCCCGAATGAAGAACACGATATGCACAATAAATCATAATAAAAGTCTCTCTTATTCAATTAGCATTTTTAAGAAAAAGTCTGCTTGAGCTTAAAAACTGCAGCAGAGCACTCCCTATGCTACAAATACCCTTCTCAGTTGTTTTGCAGAGGCAAGCAAACAGTGTTTTGAACAAGATCAGAATCCTTGATTAAGCTCTCCCAGAGATGCAGAACTACTATGACAAATTTTAGATGCTCCCCTAGCCTTCATCTTCTTGTAATGGTACTATGGGGGGATCATGATAATGAGCATGTTTCATTATTTCTCCCAGGCAGTTTTTAACATGGAAATTGCCACTTCTGTTCAGCTATGCCCCATAGTGGGAAAATACATTGAGATTCTGATGAGAGTTGAGCAAATTGAACACCTTCTGCATAATATGTAGCTTGATCTGTAGAACCAGCATGGATTCAGTGGTGAGCTTTTGACCAGGAGGTATTTGGGTTTTTTTAAAAAAAAAACATCAAAAGCTATTATCTGAGAATGGAGATTCCATCACTGACGGGGGAGAAATCAATGGGTGTAAGTGGAAACAATATCTTGAGTAAAATGTTAAAGGATGAAGCCTTGTCAGCTCATTAAAAAAAAGGAATGTAAGAGGGTACATTAAAGGTTTCTAAAAATACATTGTTGGAGGAAGCTATTAAGGTCTGCACAATCTAAGGCAATAGATAAATCTAAAGTATCGTGACGACCAGAATACAATATGAACTCATTAGCCAAATTCAGGATGAAGACCAAAATATCTTCTTTAATAGATGAAAATATAGTTTGTACAAATCTGCAGAATAGAACTTTAGAAGCCAAGAATAACTTTTCAAACTGAGATTTTCTTATGGACTACTGCTATAATACATGTTCTTTATTGAATGTTTGAATGATGATTAAACGCCTGGGATTGTTTAGAAAGAAATTCCCCTTTAAGCAAGACTGGCTGATCATCAATGATTTTCCACTACAATGGTGGTTTTTTGAACTAATAAACTGTTCCACCTTAGGAAATGCAAGCACAATGTATTCAAGCAGTGCACAGTTACACGATTTTTCATACATCTTGTAATTGTTCCCTTAGAGAAATGACTAATAGTAAATAAAAACTATTTTTTTAAAAAAAAAATCTGTTAATTTTTTTGCAGTTTCTTTCCCCTAAGGGAAGATTTGGATCTCCCTTTCCCCAAAAACAAAACATAAAAACCAACAAAACCCCCTATAATGTTTCCTCTGGCTTTTTAAAACAAAAAGCCTTTTGCATAAATATTCACTCTGGCTGATCCCAAGTATTATAGGATTGCTATATGTTACTTTTTAAGACACCTAGAACTGCTGCCGTTTTCTTCCTACTAACACAAGCAATAAATCGTTTAGTGCCCCCCTCCTGCCCCCCTTCATAGCACTGCCTGGCAGGGCCAAGGAAATGAGCAATGTAGTGATCTCATCTCATTATGTGTAGAGCAGCTGGCATCAGATATTACACACACACAATGCAACATATAAGAAATGGATGCAGGTTCACCTCTGTAATTCTATCTGGCCCTTAGACAATGCATGTGGAGGTTCTGAATCTGGAAAGAGCATGATGTAAATATTATTATTCTCATTCCTTTTCTGAGGGAAAGGAAAGGAAAGGAAAAAAAATCTGATATAACAGAGCAGCAGATAAATCAAAGCTCCAAAAGCTGGTGGATTATGAGCTCTGGACTATAAAGAACTTTTGCTGAGAGGTGAGTGAGAGTCCAATTGTAAGCTGGGTGCAAATGGTAAAAAAACAAATAGGTTATCACTAGACAGCATAATGCATTATTCGCAAGTCCATTGCTTGCTCAAAAAGAAGACGCTTCCCAGAAAATAGGTCATTTAATTGATCATTTACTAGAATATAAAATGCCTTCAGTCCTTGTTGCCTTAGTAACCGTTGCGATGCAACAGACTTAAGATCTACATTTCAACATCAGAATTTAAGAACGCTTGTGCACAGGTAAGAAGATAAGGGAATATGCCTCATCCCCTTCCTTGCGCTCCCAGATAATCTCGCAGCCATCTTGCTTGATGCAGAATTTATCTGCTCCTCCTCATCTTCCATCCATATTTACAGAAATAGGTAGAAATTGGATGTTTAATGCCAAAAGGAGGAATTAGATGGCAGAATCTTTAGATTGCACTATGGGTGCCATTTCTTAGAATTCAGGAAAGGGGTATGTTATGTAAAAGCACTTTCTTTCTCTTTGCAAATAGAAAACTAAAGTTGGGAAAGAAGGCTGAAATCTGGCATGGATATGAACATTTATGTTTGTGTTTCAACTTACATGCATTGTTTTAAAACTTGGATGGATACAGTATTCAAAAATGTAATGTATCTGCCACCAATCCATTCTGCTATTTGATTCTATTTGACGGATTGGCATGGCCCTAGTTTTACTAAAAAGCTGTCCAAATATTCTGAGGTCTCTAACCCAAGCTTCTGTGCTCATGACCCAAAGACATCAAAGCACACTTCAGAGAGTTATGGCTCCTGCACACCTGGATGTCAAGTCTACCTATCATAGGATGAGGATACAGCCATGCAGGTAACTTCTCTTTTGAGGATGTTGTTTAGCACTTTGTTGGAGAGATTAGCAGGGCCACCAGTCTAATTTGTTCACTCACATAGATGTGGTTCTGCTTGTAGCGCTGGTGCAGATTGAGCAAGATGGCAGCCTCATGCAGGTCTCCCAGCATGGACATGTCCTCCACACCGTCTACACTTGACTGATGCATTGGCAGGATTTTTTCTTTGGGCAGAGAGGCCCAGGGATAGCAGAACACCTAGTGGGAAGGGAAAGATTGCATTGAGAGATGCCACACTGCAAAATGACCATATGTCCTGGATCAGGGGTAGGCAACCTTGGCTCTTTTATGACTCCTGGACTTCAACTCCCAGGATTCCTAAGCCAGCCATGCTGGCTCAGGAATTCTGGGAGTTGAAGTCCACAAGTCATACAACAGCCAAGGTTGCCTATCCCTGTGACCTGGATGATTATCATCTGCTGAATTAGATGTGATAGTAAAGGACCTGTGTTAAATTTGTACATCAAGAGCAAGGTAAGTCAATTAGTAATCATGTGCATGCCTGCAAACATGCAATTTCTTGTATTCCCACGTCCTTTAAGCAAACCTTTCATATGGTAGCCCTAGAAAGAACTTCCAAGCAATCAAAATTAAGAAAATCACTAGAGTAATATTAAAAAAGAATCAAGTTCAAATTTAGAAGTCAGGGAGAATGAAGAATGCAGACATCAATACACTACCATTTAAAGACAAAAAAACACTATAGTACCAACCACTTAAAACTATCAGGGATGGAGCAAGTACAATTTCTTTGGAAAAAAAAAACTCCATAAGCCAGATGCTGCTGCAGTCAAAATCCTGTCTCATATTCCTATCAACTAAACTTTTTAAAGTAGTGGAATAGGAAATGGAGCCTTTGATGCTGAACATCTCTGCAAAAGAATCCTGCTAGTCCATTTTGTGCTTGTTGCAGTTTTTCAAGGGTAGCCCTATCCACAACATTTTATAATAATCTAATTCAATAACGAGCAAGAATTAATTTGCTTGACCCACTGTGAATAAAGGCCACTGACAAGTTCTTAAGGACAGCAACACATGACATTTTCTGTCACCCACATCTAGCCCACTAGGAAAGGCAATCTATGCCCATTATTTTCTGCTATACAACAAAAGTATTTTTTTTTACTTCTACTGATTCCAATCAGCAGTTCTTCTATTGTGCCCCGCCTACACTGCTGGAACTGGCTACTATATACTTGGCAGGATCACCCTCTCTATTCCAGTCATTGGTAACTGTCCTCTGGTCATTTTTTAAAAAATAAATTAACCAGTGAAACAATGAAAAACTGCTTTTTAAAAAAAAAGAAAATAGGTGAAATTGATACGTTTTTGCCACTTTTACTTTCTAGGCCTCAGGACAGGAAAATAGGCCTTAGCCCTTAGACTTATATACCGCTTCACAGAGATTTATAGGATTTCTCTCTTTTTTTTTATCAGTCCAGGAATGGTAAAAAAGGTGGGGGACTTCACCAATCATGGTTAATGTGATCCAGATAAAACACTAACCTGTCTGCATGGTGGACAAACAGAGGGAAAGGTTGAAATGTGGAAACAGATTACTTAAACTGGCTTCCTTATCACTGGTTTACACACAGCTGAAGAGTCCAGTGTAGAAAAGTCTTACGATTTGGATCGCTCAGGCTGTTCTGCTCTTGGTTCATGCTTCAAACATGTAAATGTTGTAATGGATTGTCAGTTGCCACAGGGACACTATATCAAACTCCTGCATCTCCATCTTTGATTCTGTACTAGTAAATTGCTAACATAAAAAAACATACACTGAAAGAATATCCATCTTTCTATTGCTCTTTTAGCAAGCCTCATTGAGATGCTGTAATCGCAGTTAGGTCACATTAAAAGATAACTGATCTGCATTAGGTCATCTTATCTTATATACGCAGGGGAAAACGCAGGCCTCCCTCCCCAATACATCAGAGAGATTCAGAAGGGCGAGGATTTGCCTAGAGAAAATGACCAATTTGAGGTATTAATACAGGATTATCTCCAATTTCAAACCTGGCCAGCTGCAGAACTGCAGAACTATTGTGAATGGCTTGAAGGCTTCAAGAGCCTGCCCCAGTTGGCTAAGGTGTGTTGCCGTCTTTCCTGAGAACTTGTGTGCTTTGTTTCAGGGTCAAAGAGTTTAATAGCAATTCAGAAAAATCAATTTGCAAGTGAGAGTGGGGAGCAAAGTCTTAAGAAAAATATGCCTGTTCAGGCAAGATGACATTACTTAACACTTGGCCATCCTAGGTGGTACATGTTAGGAGGTATCAGTTGAGTCTCCAAATGTTTTTTTTAAATTTTTTTAGCTTAAATGGGCAAGAGAATTATCCAAGAGTACTTTCTCCAGTGGTTCATTAAAGTCTTAAATTTCACTTACCTCACCGTAGTCTGAAGTGAAGAGCATGGAGCCATTAGCACAGGATCCAAGAGTGCAGGGCCGCATATAATCCAGTTCCTGCAGCCACACACGTGTTCCCTGAAACCAATCACAAGAGAGTTCAACCATATAGTCTTCATCAGACTACATTTGTACATCCAAGGGAGATGGGCAGTTCAGAAATATGATATATATGTGTGTCTGTGTGTATACATATACATACATACACATACACACACACACACATTTAATGATTACACTTGCTATTGTTTCCTTTCTTTGCCAATCAACTGCAAAAATATATCATATCTAGAAATACTTCAAGTGCATATTCAGCAGTAAGTGCATGAATAAAATATGTAGATGGCCACCACAAAGGGGCAGTCTTCCCTTCATCTTGTAAATAAGGTAGTATATATGCCTATAAGAATTAGGATCAACAATTATAGATGATTTATCCTTTCACTTTTGTCTTTTTTATTTAAACTTTCATAGAAATATAGGAAAGCTGGCTGGACTGGCACTGAGGATGGCATTCATTATCGTCCCTCTCAGAAGACTTTATGTTTAGCACTGTGATAGAAAATTCTATCCCATTCAAGTCCCCATCTGTCTACAAACAGACTGGCATAAGCATATTATGTGTGTGTGTGTGTGTGTGTGTGCACGCGCACACTTTGTTATAGCAACTGCTGGAACTCGTAACATCTCACCATATATATGACAGCTGAACACTGTTGCCTAGCAGGATTAAAATATCTCCAATTTCTATAGTCTGCATGGATCCCCAACATATCCTGCAATGATAAACTATTCAGTCTGCCTGATGCAGTTTAGACTGGTAGAAAAGGATCTACTTTCTTCATTCTTAAATTCCTTTTTAAGCAGTTACATTGCAAACACTGTGGATGGCACAAAACTTCACTTTGCCTTTATTTCAATACAGTAGTCAACATTTTCCCATTCATCTCAGGCAAATATAAGACTTAGTCTCCCAGCCTTGCTCCACATTCAAAGACATTACTGAATTGTGCCAAAAGCTGTCACCAGACCATTAGAATAAACCAAGCAAAAGCAGCCTTTGGGTAAAAGTCACAGTATCTTGATATGTAGTATCAGTGGCGGGATTCAGCCAGTTCGCACCACTTCGGCAGAACCGGTAGCTAAATTTTTGTTGCCCAGGCCCAGAATGGACTTCTGGAAGCGGCATCCACACGGAGAATAGGTTGTTCACATATTTGAATCCCACCACTGTGTAGTATGGAACTGGATTTAGACAATGGTTTTCACCCATTTTCAACACCTCAAGATTTAATTCTGCCTAGCTTTTGCTCATTTGTGTTAGACCTAGATGTGAGATTCCCAGGCTCAAGTTTCAATCAATTTTGAAACTGTTTACTATTTCCCTCTAACTCAGTTCATCAAGTCTTATGAGACTAAAAATGCTACTTTATGCTTCCTAACATAAAGGGAGCTGAAATTATGCTCTCATGTCCTTAGAGCAGGGGTGTCAAACTCAATTTCACTGAGGGCCGCATCAGCATTGCGGTTGCCCTTGGAGGGCCAGGTGGGTGTGGCCAGAGTGGGTGCAGCCAGAGTGGGTGCAGCCTACTGGGTGGGCGTGGATGGAGTGGGTGTGGCTTACTGGGTGGGCGTGGTCAGTTCTACATCATTCGCGTCAAGGGTACCTGTGGGGGCCTGGGTAGGAGTGGGACAGATCTGAAAGTCTCTGGCAGAAGGGGGTGGGACCGGGGCAAGTGCCAAGGCATGGTCCACCGGGGCAAGTGCCAAGATGGCCACCACAAAATTGTACATTGGCTCCCGGCTGGCCTGGGCCAGGGCCAAGGCAGCGGGGGCTGTTCCCTCACTGTTTCCAGGATGGCTTTGCGGGCCACATGAAACCACTTCGCGGGCCACATCCGGCCCCCGGGCCTTGTGTTTGACATGTCTGCCTTAGAGGAAAGTGTGATACAAATACAATTCATTTTTAACCATTTTACATACACTCCTGATTTTTCTTACATGGAGATTAAGTACCATGAAAATTGGCAATGCTGTAGGAACTAGAAAAATGTTTTGTAATAATCACGGAAGTTACTGCTGGACCCATCTTGAACCTTTAGCTGACAATAATTCCTCACACAAACAAAGGGTCCAACTTGGCTAGGATAAAAGTTCAAACTGATCAACTGGAGGAGGACAAAAGGATAGGACAGCCAATTTACATAACAGATACCAGAGAGAGAGAAGGTCTCTTGTCATCTGAGTAGGAAGAAACTGAGAGGAACTCAAGTACTTCTAAAAAGTGCCTGAAATAAACAGGGAGGCAAGGGGCTGCAAGACCTCTTTCCTATAAAAAGGGGCATGTACTGAAATCTATTTTTTTACTGCTGAGAAAAACAAATCTTTTTCAGTCAACCCAGCCATGTGTGTGTGTGTGTGTGTGTGTGTGTGTGTATGTGTGTGTACACATAAGTGTATTGCTATTCTTTGGGGGGGGGGAGGCATAACTAGAGCCACAGTAGCAGTAAACGTTTGTTTTACCCAAGGGCTAAGCACAAACCACTTTTAAGAAAATGAATTGGGACAGTTGAATGCTTAGTAGTTTTAATAGTTTTGCAATAACAAGCCTGGAAACGAGAAGTGGCATTTGGGGAAAAAGCTCTAGCAGCCTCTCCCTGCCACTATCCACTTCTTTGCTCACAATGACCTAGCTTTTGTTATCAGAAAAGCCTGATCTAACTGGAGATTTTTGTGGACATTTTTCAAATGGAGGCTCAAGGAAGGTCATTTCGTGCCCTCCGTGGTCCATATAAATGTTAAAATCATGGCTAGGTCTGTACCATTGCTAAAAGAGATTTTAATAAGTTTGTTTTCCATTTGATAGGAAATCAATAGAGAAAGGATTGATAGCAAAAACTGCAGCAGGGGAGAAGAGGGACTGGTTGAGAGCCAGGATACCACTAAGCAATCATTGCCATGACCCCTGCCTGCTTTATGCCTCTCCATAGTGATTGATACTTATCACCGAAGAGCTACTGACAAGATGCAACAAAGGCAATTCCTATGAAGTCATCTCATAGTCTTGCAAAATGCTGAAAGATCACAGAATACTGACTCAGAGCTAAAGTGTAATTTTTGTTTGGCCTGAGTCCTTTGTGCACATGGAAAGCTAAACAAAAACCCCACTAGATAAATAGATGGATGAATATTAGGTTTTCCCCCAGTGAATGATAAACTATAGGACTTTTTGAAGTATGTGGTCTTTGCACTAATCTTTCTATGGTAAAAAAATTATTAGCCATATCAGCCATTATCAGGAATAGATTATATCAAGAACAACTTGGCTTCCTATTCTGATCAGTCTTAACTTTGCTGCTTTAGATACTCATTTTTATGAAGTCCTCCTCCTCCTCCTCCTTCTTCTCCTCCTCCACCTCCTCCTCTCTTTCTCTCTCTTGTATTAGGTGCCCACAAATGATCAAGAATCAGGATTCTGCCTTGGCTACATTACAAAACTTTTAGTAATTTAAGTAATTTAATTATTAGGTAGCTTACTATTATTATTATTATTATTATTATTATTATTATTATTATTATTGTTGTTGTTGTTGTTGTAGTAGTAGTAGTAGTAGTAGTAGTAGTAGTAGTAGTAGTAGTAGTAGTAGTTACATTAAATAGCTACAATATGGGAGGGACTGGGAGAAGCCATAACTTCCAGATAAGGGTTGAATCAAGTTTCATCAAATGCATATTTTGATTGATCCAGAGGGCCATAAATAAGTAATAGATACATATAAACAGAAATTAGCTAATGGAAGCAGATGTGAGATGCAGCAGGTGGAAGGACATCCACTCTATGCACAAGAGGAAAGAGGTTATCTGATCTCAAGAAAGAGGCAGAATGGGTAGTGTGTGTGGGTGTGTGGGGGTCAATAATAGTTTTCATGAAAGGGGAGATCAAACAGAACATGGGTGTGAACTTTCATGGATACTTGAGCAATAATGTGCTTTTCTGCTGCTGGGGGCTAATCTCACATTATCAACTATTTGCTTTCGGATCTTCTGTGAGACAGCCAAAAGCACTGTTCCAAATTTCAACTTGTACGCTCTGTCTCAGAATGAAAAGTTCTCTTGAAGCTGCAGAATACTCTTTATTGTTCTATCTTAGCAAAAGTCCTAAATTTAGAAAGGCACCACCTGCAAAAATAAAACTAGATAAGGGAAAATATCACCACTGCATCCACAGTAAATTTAAGGCAACCTTCCCACTTTGAAATCAAAATATTTTGGAGAAAAACTACCATTTTAGCTCTCAGATAAATGCAGTAGTAATATTCAGAAACATTCAAAGGAAAAATAATTTTAGGAAGCTACGTGATGAATGGATCAGGTAGATGAGTTTCAGAAGCTCAGCTGAAAGTGGAAGAGAGAGACCCAAATCTCTAAAAGTAAGGACCACAGACTTAATGTTAACATCAGTACAAGCTTAAAAAGGGGAAGACTGGAAATCTTGGGGCCTTCAGATGTTATGATTGATAGGTTCTTTATCTTTCCTTAAAGGCCATCATTGTAAAAACTAAACTTTAGAAGGGGTTAAATCACATAATCCAGTAGATATGCAGTTCTTATTAATTTGCGATGCAAACAGACAGTTTTCTATGAATTACTGAAATACAAGTATTACAATATGTTTTATTAACAAAGTGGAAAAGTGTTACTTTTTGAAAAATATGTTAACATGGCTGTCTCAAGCGCTTTTCCTAATTCTAGAGCTATAAATGAGTGTCGCAGATTAATGTATGTTGCATACTGGATAGTGTTCACACAAAATACTGCAATACGCTGCTGAGAATTCGGGCATGTGAGGAAGCAGCAAGTATGCCAGGGCAGACTTCTCAATTATTTCTACTTAGTTTTTTCCTGTATAAGAGTGGCAGGAATTTAGAAGTCACAGGACGCTTAATGTTAAGTTTAAATCTGGCTTCTGACTTAGTGCTTCTCTTAGAAGCCAGAATCCAAAAGTCAGCTACAAACGCTGGTTTCTAATACTGACATTAAAAGGAGAGGTGGGAGGTCATAGACTACTAGACATATAAGCCTTTTTGGATATGGATTGGGGTTGCTTCCATTTGCAGGGGGAACCAAGCAGATGTACCTGGTCAATATGTACCAGTAAGATTTGAAATACTAACAAACCAGCATTTTAAATAAATCTGACCCACCATCTAATAAGGACAGTGTCACTATCAGGGACTGCACTGAGTTTTGAGATGAAATGTATTTGTTTTCAGAACACATTACTACAAATAATGCTTATGGTAAAGCTGGTACCAGATTGATTTCTTGTTAGGGAAGCAGGAACAGGAAATTCTTAAGAGGTTCTAAATTGATGATAAGGACAGAGCTTACTCATCACTGTGTTTGTGACTGTTATCACATTCACATTCCTGATTTTGTTTTAAAAAAAAGACATTGAAGAAATCAGCTTTCCCCACCCAAGTGCTCTTAAACGTACCAATTAAGAGATGATAGGTAATGGATCCGATCAATCTGGTAATCAACAAGTTGGAGAAGGGGAATTGATTTGTACTTTTACAGAGTGTCTTCTAATGTTTGCATTATTTTCTCTTGTTTTTCTTTTTTAAAATTCATATTTATTTTTTAAAAATCATATAAGCACAAATCAAAAGAAAAGAAAATGTACACATACACAAAAAAGAAACCAAAATCAATAAACATAAAAATGACTTCTGACCTCTTTTTCAACAAATAATTACATTCTTGTCCCTCCTCTCTCTTAAATATTTCTCAGATCTCCTCATCTCCTCCTTTAATTGATATCTTTCTTAATCTTCAAATTCATTAATCATTTCATTTTTTTTCTTTCAGTAAGAAGTCCATTTAAGGTTTCCAGTATTTTTAAAAAACACAAACCCACCAACATTTTGCTGTTCGTTCTCTTGATCAACCATGAATCTTTTCTAATTCATGGTCCTCCCATTTTTCCCATTCTAGACAGTAAGCAGGCACTGGAGCATTCCAAAGGTGTGTGTGTGTGCGCGCACGCCCCCCTGCCCCCCATGTGTGTGTGTGTGTGTGTGTGTGTGTGTAGGGGGTGTTAGAAAGGAAAGAAAAGAAAAGCTAAAGGTGTGAAACCGAGGCAGTATTTGTGTCTCTTTTCAACTGGAATGCACAATCACAGCCAAATGATTTCCCACTTACTGGTGGCTTGTTTAGCTGCACAGTTGCCAGTCCCAACTGGGGTCATTAAGTGAAGATTACCTGTACCTCTCTTTTGCACTTGACTGATGCCATGTTAGAAACATAATGTGCTCATTCTTGAGCATAAGATCAGAGTAAATGTTACTGGTCTACAATTAAGTTTATATGGCAGTAGGATGTAACAAAAGGATGTAACACTCTGTAACAAAAATAATGGGATGACTTCAGAATAAAATTAGGAATAAGATACCATGCCTGCAGTAAAGAGCTGATAATATGAAACAGAGGAGCTGCCCTATCTGTAAGTAACAGAGAAATTACATGTAAATGAAAAGTCAGCTGTAATGAAAGGCTGCATTTCAAAATGAACCAGCTGTCACGGGCCCTTCGTATCTTGGAGGTCTTCTCTGCAGCACAGAGATGCATTCCTCCTAGTTGTGCTTATCTTGCAAATTCTGACAAGGTCATACAGTAAGATTTGTCTCGAGACATGTTACCCTCAGAAACAGAAGTCAAGCAATGCCTTTAGTTGAACGTAATTTCTACCTTCCTGCTTCACTAAGTTAGAAGGGCTTCAGCCACAGCAGCTACATCTTTTTACCTCTCAAACAGAAAGACTGAAATCACCTGCAAAAAACAAGTAGCACAGAATTAAACCATATACTGCATGGTTACTCAAAGTTAGCAATGTTTAACAAGATCCCTCTCAATCCATCAAGGCAATGAGATCAGATGGAACAAAAAGATCTTAAGAGATTTCTTTCCATATGTGTTCATTTAATCTGCTTACACAAAGGATCTCTCCTGATCTTGTTTTCTATATAAACATAGCTTACTCAATAGCTTAATAGAAGTTAAAGGACAAATGCTGCTTGATATTATGTGGAGCATTGCTGTAATTACAGTATATTGCATGGGGTTAGTGCCCATAAAACTAAAATAAAACCATTGTCCATAAACTTACACCCAAGTAGCACATGGTAGGCTGAGCTCCTGTTCTTGCCCCAGTTCCTTGCCACCTGGCAGTTTGAAAGCATGCAAATGCTAGTAGATAAATAGGTACTACTTCATGGGAATGTAACAGCATTCTCAGTGTATAGTCAGTCATGCTGACCATATGACCACAGAAACGTCTTTGGACACTGGCTCCCTCAGCCAGGAGATGAGCACCACATCCTAGAATTGGACATGACCAGACAGGGGAAACCTTTATCTTTATCTAACTAATGGCCCATCTCACCCAATGATATCAAATTGACAGGCTTTCCAAGTTTTCAAGCAGGAGATTTTTCAGCCTAAGCTAAGAAATCCGAAAGATCTTGATTCCTCTGATATTCAAAGTATGGTGCTGTACCACTGAGCTACTGAGCCAAAATGAAGACAGCCAAATTTATTAGATAGAATGGTGAAAAGATACTGAATAATTGCATGGCAGATTGCAAGAGATGCTAAAACCCAACACCTAGAACTTTGTAGTATTAATGAGCAATTATGATACAAAAGTTGGAGAAACAGGGGAACCTCAATTGCAGGAATATTTGAAGTGGGTCAACACAATAAAGCAGGAAACATTAACAGAGCTTTTGCTCATTGCTAGTGTCTCCTTCAAGCAACATAAACACAATTATACAACTAGATATTACTGAATGGCCAATGTAAGAATCAAATTGGCTATGTGGTATGAAATTGAAGAAATCAATCCAGTCAAAACAACTTCTGATGCAGAAAGTTAAATGAAGATGGAAAGGCCATTGTGAGACTTATTACAAATGAGTTTATGGAATGATAGAAGCATTTACAGGCAACATATAGTATTCAATAAAATAGATATACCAATTCTTAATGTAAGGCACATTGTATATAAAATGTCTACAGAAATGTTTAAAGCAGCAAGATAAACAACAGTAATGACAACTTTATGCCAAGAAATGTTTGAGTCAGTGTGAGGTGGTCATCAAGATGTTGGACTAGAACTACTCGTCTGACTTTGGACCAGTCACTCATTCTCACCCCAATGTACCTCACAGTTATTGCTGTAGGGAAAATGGGAGGAGTATTATATACACCATCTTCAACTGAAGAAAGGGTAGAATATGAATCTAAAAACAAATATGAAACAAAAATATGTGGATTAGGAAACAAAAAAGATTGGTGCACAGTAGTATCATGAAAGAAAAATGTGTTCTAGAGAATGTGCCAGTATCAAACCATTCCACAATCTCCTCAAGCAAACAAAGTTTTATTTAGCATCTTACAAAGAACAGAGACACTTATGGAAATGAGAAGACAGATTTCAGAAAAGACAGAGAGGGAAAGATGACATCACTAACATATAATGGATAATGAGCAGAGCAAGATAATTAAAGGAGGTGGTTTGCTTGTCTTTACAGCTAGACCCTTGATTGTAGAGACCATGGCAGAATGTGGAATATATCAAAGCTAATAGTGTGCCAAAAATATCTAATTACTCTTCTGAGGAGTCATTACAATGAGGAAGCAATTGTAAGAGCTGAATTTGGAGAAACAGTCATTCAGAATAGGAAATGGAATGAGACAAGTGAATCTCCATATCCATGTAAACTGCACAGTGAATGGCAGGATTAGAAGAGTTGACAACTGAAAGTTGAAACACTAACATATTCAGGTCATATTACTTTGTCATCTGAAAGTAAATATCAGTATTCTGGCACTCCTATCAATCAACTTATATCCAAGTTAAAAATATTCACTGTCTTTAAAATACTGTAGTTTTGACATCCTAGAAAAGTGGTAGCGGGGGAGGGGAATGAGCTGAACCGGTGGCAGCACCGCACAAGCCTGAGCGAGAGATGGCTGCAGCTGCAGGGCTGTCAGGGCTCAGTGGAAGCGCCAGAATCAGCGCCGCAGCATCTCCAGGGTCTTGTGATTTACATTCAGATGCTTGGCAACTGATTCATATTTATGATGGTCACAGTGTTCCAGGGTCATGTGAAGTGACCAAAACCTGCTGCAACCACCCAGCAGATGGGGGGAACAAAAACCAAACACCTCCCCATCCCACCCCCGTCAATCCTCAGCAGAAATGCTCACAACAATGAAAACCTCGGATAGGAGGAAGAGCGGTGCCAGGTGGGCAGGCAGCTTGGGGGACACTTTTTTCAGTGCCATTGTAACTTCAAACAGTCACTAAGCAAACTGTTGTAAGTCGAGGACTACCTGTACTTTATCACTTTTTTCCTTTTTTTTTTTGGTCATCAAGTTTTTTGACACCTTGCTAGGCGACTGGTGGTACTCGGATATTGCCATATCCTAAAAGTGGTACAATGGGTGAAAAGGTTGAAAAGCCCTGTGCTAATCTACCATAGAACAACCATCCACACCTGGAACATTTGCAAATTGTTGAATGCAAAAATGTTGGGCGGTTCTAAATGTGAGAAAAACCAATTTTTGTAGCATTAAGAGTGGATCTTGGGAAATGATGGACACAGAAGAAAAATCCCCTCTCTAAGGAAGTCCATCTAGCGCAGTGGTTCTCAACCTGTGGGTCGGGACCCCATTTGGGGTCGATCGACCATTTCACAGGGGTCGCCAAGCAAGGCTGTCCGCCATTTTTTTTGTCCGCCATTTTTTTTGTCCGCCATTTTTTTTCCCTTTTCCTGCGGTTACCTTACCTCCCTTGGGCTGGGCCAGCTGGTGGTCGGCCTGCTCCGTCTCTGCCGCTTGCCAGCTATGCCTCGGCCGGCGCAAGGGGCAGAACCACGCATGTGCGGCGCTCCCGGGCAGGGAAAGTCCTCGACTTACGACCGGTTGGGTAGTCCTCGACTTACGACCGGTTTAGTCCTCGACTTACGACCGGTTTAGTCCTCGACTTACGACTGGTTGGGGTCGCGGCATTGAAAAGGTTGAGAACCACTGATCTAGCGGGACCAAGAAGAAAGGCCTTCTCTGTAATGCATGTCTTCCCTCCCTGTGGAACATCATCGCTGCAGAGATAAGATTGGCCTCCACTGTGACTCTCCTTTGCGAGGCCTTGGTTTTGCCAATGGGCCTGGGGACCCCAGAGTGATACGGAGCCCATCTGATTGTTGTCACCAGAAGGTGGGGGATTATTGGTTTTTGTATTATGGTTTTATCCTTATCAGTTGCCTAGAGTCACTGAGAGTGAGTCAGGCGACCATATAAATTGTCTAAATAAAAAAAGAAATTAGAGCAGCGGTTCTCAACCTGTGGGTCGCGACCCCTTTGGGGGTCAAATGACCCTTTCACAGGGGTCGCCTAAGACCATCGGAAAACACATATTTCCGATGGTCTTAGGAACCGAGACACCGCTCCTCTATCAGTCTCCAGGCGGCGGGTCTGTCCATGCTGGCGGCGAGGCCGGGGTCCGGCGGGGTCGGGCAGCGAGACCGGGTGCTGGCGGAGGAGGAGGGGTGGGCCACGTGGAGTGAGGTGCGGGGCAGGAAGGCGGCGAGGAGGCGGGCGCTGCGGCTCCTGCTGCTGCTGCTGAGGCGGCCGATCACGACGCAGAAGCGCCACGGCATGGAGCGGCGCGGCCGAGGGCAGGCAGGCGGGCAGGCCGAGGGGGAGGCGCGGCCCTCCGCATGATGAAATCGCAGGCGGTGCTGCCTCACCAGCTCCGCCTCAGCTGGTGCAGGGGGCGGTGCCACGCATGCGCGGTGCTCCCGGGCCGAGGCGGTTGCTGGGTGATGGCTCACGTGCGCCCTCGGCCTGCCCAGCGTGCGCTCCAGCCGCAGGAGAGGCGGAGCGCGCGCTCCAGAGAGAGAAAAAGAAAAAGTGTGTGTGTGTGTGTGAGAGAGAGAGAGAGAGAGAGAATGAGAGCGAGCAAACCCCGCCCCTCCTCCTGCCCCCACCCTCAGGGAAATACAGGTAGTCCTCGACTTACGACAAGGGAGCCCCGAATTTCCGTTGTTAAGTGAGACATTTGTGAAGTGAGTTTGGCCCCATTTTATTGACCTTTCATTGCCTCAGTAACCTGGTTGTTAAGCGAATCTGGCTTCCCCATTGACTTTGCTTTGTTAAAATTTTGCAAAAAAAAAAATTATGATCCCATGACGACACAGTAATTGCCATTAAAACGACGATTCATAACAGTAGCAAAATTACAGTTATGAAGTAGCAACGAAAATAATTTTATAGTTGGGGGTCACCACAACATGAGGAACTGTATTAAAGGGTTGCGGCATTAGGAAGGCTGAGAACCACTGAATTAGAGTGAAAGAATGACTGCAGGAAGAGACCATATAAGTTAAGGGGTGTAAAAATGATGAGAGGTTCTGAATGTGGGACAGACCATTTCTGGTAGCGGCTCCAGGGAGTGGGGGGAGATGGACATGGAAGAAAAGGAAAATTTTAAAAAGTAGAGGGGCTACAGGAAGAGGCTATCCTAACACTATACAAAAATGTATCGGAAGACAGAAAGACTACCAGAAGAGAATATCCCAATTCCATACAAAATAGTATGGGAAAACAGATTAATCTCTCAAGCAGTGGAGGGAAAGTAGACATAACAAGATGTGAAGGCTGCTTGGAAGAGAATAGAAAGTAAGAAGTGCCACAGAAGTGTGTGTCATTCTGGTAAAGATAATATGAAAAATTGATGTGAATGAATGTAAAAGGCTATGGGTAAGGAAAAATGCGCATAAGAGAATGATTGCTACAAAAAAATGAAGATGAGGTATAATATGTTTATATAGAGAAAAAGAGACTTCCAAATTGTGCCTTCAAAGAGAGTAAGACATGTTTAATATTGCAAAAGGCGAAGTAAACCCAGAACAATGCTGATTGGAATAAAAAAATAATAATAATTAGAAATTGGTGCAGGACAAGCCCCCAGCAGAATAAATGGGATAAAATGGTAAAAATGATTAAGTTATTTGGAATGAAACTGATAGGAAAGAAGGCAAGAATGAGTTTTTCAGAGATATGCAGGCAGATGTTAGTAATATGTTGAACGATGGAATTCCTTATTCCTGGTAATCCATATGGTGCCCTCTCCTTTGTCATAGGAAGGTGACAAATACTGAACTTTTTCATAAGGCTTTTAACTCATATAAAGCTGCTATTAAAGGATAGTGGGAGTTGGGTTTCATTTACTGATGGTGATGTGCTGCTTTTATTGTTTTAATGGAAATGCTGTAAACCACAAGAGTCTTTTGCTTTACTGTAAAAACAGTGAAATAAATGGATGAATGAGGTACATGTGAAGGCCATATCTGTGCCTGACAACTGGAAAATGTTATTGCTTTCCTTCACAGAGGGAAAGATAACAGTGATGAATACAACTAGTACACTGGGATTAATTTGTTGAAATTACTTGGAAAGGTATTGGCAGAGCATAAAAGATAATGAGTAAATTTGAAAAATGCAATGTGTCTTTTATGCTGGGGCAGGCATGCGCAAGACTAAATTTTCACTCATTGAAAAATGTATAAATGAAAGAATATTTGTGCTTATTGGTTTAGATAAAGTATATGTTAAAATGAATAGGCTTAATTATGGAATGTTTCACAAGCATCATTGAGCTGTGGTGGTGCAGTGGTTAGAAGGCAGTATTGCAGGATAATTCTGCCCACTGCCAGGGGTTCGATTCTCACCGGCTCAAGGTTGACTCAGCTTACTATCCTTCCGAGGTGGGTAAAATGAGGACTCAGATTGTTGAGGTCAATATGTTGACTCTGTAAACTGCTTAAGAGAGGGCTGTAAAGCACTGCGAAGCAGTATATGTTTAAGTGCTATTGCTTGCTATAAACATGAAGGTCCGCTCCTGACTGTGTTAAGCACAGAATATGATAGAATTAAAGTGCATGGGAGGACAAATGGAATGTTTAGCAAATGGTTCAACACTGAGGGTAAAACAAAGAAGTCTCACGCTCTTCTTTTAGGTTTGATTTGATGAATGGTAAAAGATCAGACAATTCTTGTAACCGGGGCTTTTTATTGCAATCATTTCATCAGAATAAATATGTTAATACAACTGTGAGGTTCCAACCTCTTTTGTTTGGGTAAATATATTCAACCCATACCTGTGCCTAGAAAACTAGACCTTCTCCTTATAATTATCTTTCCTGTCCTAGAATGAATCTTAGTTTTGATCTTATACTATATTCTACCTTAGCTCAATCCTTTCTAATATTACTTATATTATTCCATTTCATCCTGCCTTCAGAGTCTAGCCCAAGGGCACTTGTGTACACAGCTGGTATTCTATTGCAACCCTTTAATTTCTTGGGCACTTGTTCTTGCGGTTGCTATGGGATAGAAATATTGGAGATCTCAGCAGCCCTCTTTTTTCTGGATTGCTTCTTCAGATCTGGTGCTGCATCCTTTCCATCTCTTTCAGTTACAGTCAGTGCCATGAGCTTCAATGGGAAAATGACAGTCTTCTGGGTCTCCAAATATGCTGCCAATACGCTGTGCATTGGTGAAGCCTGAGGATGCCAGGCATCAGCACCAGAGGCCTTCTTCCATCAGACCATCTCTTCCCAAGGTCTCCTTAAATAACTGTGAGTCATGGCCTTTATTACATTTTTAGTAGTGTTTCCTTAATCTTGCTACTGCTGGCTCCTCATCTACACCAATGCCTCTGCAACACACAGCCAGCTGCAACACTCTGGTTTAGTCTTCAGTGTCTTCTGATACTCCTATATTGCCAGCTATGATGTCCTGGCCCAGCCTCTAATGTTCTCCACAGCAAATCCCTCCAACACCAACTCTGACATTCCAGTTACACCACTGATCTCCTCTGCCCAGCTCTTATACTTACCACCACCACGCTGAGTGCTCAAGCCAGTGTCTACCTCTTCTGCCAGTGCTACACTTGAGATGTTGCTACTGAGACACAGTTTACAATACTGCACACCAATGTGACCTTCTGCCGGGAATCCTGCCATTTATCCCCATTATCACTCAGCAACCAAGCTGCTTTTTAAACACCTGGGGCGTGGCAATTTGCAGGGAGGGCCTTACAAAAAGAGATGGGCACAGAAGAGATCAAAGTACAAATAGTCCTTGACTTACCACAGTTCATTTAGTGACCGTTCAAAGTTGCAATGGCACTGAAAAAAGGGACTAATGAATATTTTTCACACTTACGCCCATTGCAGCATCCCCATAGTCACATGATCAAAACTCCTGCATCTGGCAACTGACTCATATTTATGATGGTTGCAGTGTCCCAGGGTCATGTGATCCCCTTTTGTGACCTTCTGACAAGCAAAGTCAACGGGGAAGCCAGATTCACTTAACAACCGTATTACTAACTTAACAGCTGCAGGGATTCACTTAACAACTGTGGCAAGAAAGATCATATAATGGGGCAAAACTCACTTAACTGTCTTGCTTAGCAGCAAAAATTTTGGGCTCCATTGTGGTTGTAAGTTGAGGGCAACCTATATAAAAAATACTTGTGGTGATTCTGGAGATATGCTGTTTGCATTTATGACTGGTTGCCAAGTGCCCCGTGATCATGTGATTGCCATTTACAATCTTCTCTGCATGCTATTACCTTATTTGGTGGGAAACTAACAGTGTTCTGTATTTCGCCACACACTCGGCACTGTGGCATGGTGTTATGCTGGCCAGATGACCATGGAGGCGTCTTCTGACAGCTGTGGCTCAACAGCCTAAAAACAGAGATGAGCACACCCCCCCGCCCAAGTCAGCTACGGCTAGTGGAATAAAATCCACAGGTACTTCTTTACCTTTGCTTTATTGCTAGCTGTAATGACTGTAACTGGAAGAGCTGGGATTTTGGTTGTTGAGCAAAGAGGTCATGTGGCACCTTTCTTAAGGATCACCTTGCTCAACAACTAAGATTCCAGGCCTAATTGTGGTTGTAAGTGAAGGACTATCTGTAGTTTTACCCTTCCTGGGGAGTCGATTTCCTGGTCTGGTCTACTTTACAGTTATGGATATGAACATTTATGTACTTTTGCATGGAGACAATGTCATATTGTTGGCTGGGAGCCTAAACAATTTACATTGACTATTGCAGAGATTATATGAGGTAATAAGTAATATGGATCTGAATATTATGTTAAATACCAATATCATTATGTCTGATAGGGAATATGAAGATAATTGCAAGTTGCGCATGAATGATGAGACACTAGATTAATTTGGATATCTTGGTAGAATGTTTATGGATGATGGGAAAACAGATGGAGACATTTTAAGATATGCAAATGCTAATATCAAAGAGTGGTTAATATGTACTCTATAATGAAGAATCCTGTTGAAAAAAGCAAAAGTGGCTGTGCTTCAATTATCTTTGTTATAAGGAAGTGAGAGATTGGTACATCAAGAGAAATATAAAAGTTAATTAAATGAAGTGGTAATACTAATTGTGCATTGTACAACAAGTAGGGCCAAGAATCAATGGGTGATGTAGTCTGAATTCGAAAGGTAGTGACTAATATGAAAGAAATACATTCATATACAGAATATGAATGAGGACTGAATTATAAAACAAATAAATGAAGGATGAGTGACCGGTTCGTGATTAAGGGAAAGGCAGAAAAACTTGTGGTTGGAGAGAGTTGATGCAATCTTCAAAGAGAGATGGAAAGTCTAAAGAAAGCAATATCTAACTAGAAACAGTGGAAACAAGGATAGTTTACAACAATATAAAGATATGAAGAAGTATACAGTAGTAAATGGTATTAGTGTTACGTAAATTTAGCTACATTTCCTTATTTCTTGCCTTTAATTTCTTTGGCTTACTATTTTTCAGCCCTTTCTGTGCTTTATAATGTTGCTCAACCCTCCAAAAATTATCTGATGGATATGTGTATATCTCTGTATATTTACTCATTATTGGCACTATTTCTCCTATTATTAGCAGGCAAGCAAAGAAGTGCTAATGGGTTTCAATCAGATTCCTTGAGGATTACTTCTGCCCATTTCAGATTGTTGATTCCTTGTCTTAAAACATTGGTCGTACTTGTAAAAAATGTATGTGAACTAGAATAGAAATAGTTATTGTAGTTCAGGAGTGTGGTACGAATATAGAAAAAAATGCTAAAGATTTTCCCAAGCTCATGGTTTCTAGCAGCATGTAAGTACAATTTTAGAGAATCACGGGGATCATTTTAAGTTATCAAATTCAACCATCTGCATAGTGTAAGAAAACAAATTAAGGAATCTTAGCCAATGGACAGAAACCCTTAAAATCTCTGATTAACTTTTAGGATTTTTTTTTATATTTATGAAATAAATGATTTCACAATTTATTTCTTTATGTATTTATGAAATTCAATTGGAATCTGTCTTCCTATAATTAATCCTGCAATGGTCATGGCCTTCTTCTGTGTGTCTTTTAGATTTTGGCAATATCCTGTCAAATCCCTTGTTTTAGTCCCTTGATCAACTTTCCTCTCCTCTCCTCCTGCCAGCTTGTCTGAATCCTTTTTAGGTATAGTGGCCAGAACCAGATTTGCTAGTCAAGGTAGAATAAACAAACAAAGAAATACAAATTATTCTTTTCTATAATTTGGACACTATATCTTTGTTGACGCAAACTGCTGGTTCATGTTCCAATTTAATTAACTACTATTCCAAATTCTTTTTCACGAGTACTATTGCAAGCTAATTATCCACTGTCCTATACCTGAGCATTTAATTTGCATTTGTCTGCTAAATTCCACCCTGTTATTGTCAATGTCATTTTGAATTTTATTCCTGCCCTCAGTTGGTATAGCAGTCCCATTAAGACACTGTTATCCAAAACATTCAACTCTGAATATCTTCCATTCCTTGCCAAAGTCAATCAAATTTGTGTGTGTCACTGCAGACACTTACAGGTTTCCAGCTGCCCTGAAGCAATCTTACTTTCTATGTAACCTTGATAAAGTAGAATCCTGACTCACGTAGAAAGTAAAAAAAACATACATCTGTTAATGTGAACATTTAGTTGCTCTAAATATTCATAAGCTATGAATGTAGCAAGTGGCATTAAAATAAATATGGCATCGGGATTGGGGGGCAACCCCAATTGAGGCAACCAGAATGCTCAATTCTTAAGTACTCCAAAAAGTGTTAGGCAAGATTTTCAAATAGATTAAATGATTAAGCAAATAGTGCCAGACTATTTTATTTCTTTTATTCTAGGGGAACTCTTGTAGAATATGGGGATATTATATCTTGATTCTAATAATGCATATCTAAAATAAAAGCAAAATAAGGATTGGTGCCTGCTATTTTTAGATAAATCAGCAGCTAGTAAAGTAGTCATTTTCAACAAATGCTCTGTCATGACCAGGAGGAAGGAGTCCAGTGGATGCTGCTGGTTTTAAAATATAACTGAATAAGGCTATAAAGAGGCTACTTATTAAATCATCAGGTGACACAAAAAATGCCTGCTTCCCAAGTCAAATCAAGTTTCAAAAGAAATCTTAACAACTTTGAACATCATGCCCAAACTAGTGCTCTAGAATGCAAACTCCTGTTTTTAGTATTAAAAACAAATTTAAAAAATTATATACAAGATAGAATGAGGGTAATGTTACTTGAAAGCAGGACGTTCAGGAGAGATCTAAGTATTTTAGTGGATCATAAACTTAGCAAAAATAAGCTTGTGTGGTGTTGGATGGCATTAAAATAACTATTATGTCCAATCACTGAAAATAAAATTCTATTCTGATTTGTCAGGCCATTTTTGGAGTAGTGTACTCATTCCTTGGCATCATATTTTAAGAAGAAATTTACATCTAGTATGTTGTTATACAGAAGATGAAGCAGAATTTATCTTTATTACTCCAAATGTCAAGTTTAGAAACAATAGGTAGAAATAACAAAAAAGCAGATCAGGAAAAAAATCCTAAAAAATCCTATCAACATAAAAATATGTTGATGCACATTTGATCATAAATCATATTGCTTCAAGACCTGGTGAATTCTCCTTGAGTGAAGGAACAAACAGATGTTGGCCATTATGTGTCAAGAAAACTGTATCAGAATTATGAAGTACAGTTCATGCAATGATAAAGTAGTTTGAACAACTACTTTACTAGGCAACCTAGTATTCTCCAGAGGTTGCATATATCTTTCAGTCCAGCTAATAGCAAAGAATTGTGGAAACTGTAGTCTGAAACATCTGGAGGGCACCAATATCCCATCCCTAGATTTGAATAAAGCCAACTCTTGATAAATCTAAATGGAACAAACTATTTTCTGGGAACATTTTGAGCATTTTCCTTGTGTATTTGTTATTGTTCAGTCACTAAATTGTGTCTGACTCTTTGTAACTCCATGGACCATACCATGCCAGGCCTCCCCATCCTCCACTGTTTCCTGGAGTTTCCCATATATATCTTTTAATTATATTAAAAGTCCTTAAAGTTATCAGTTAACTCTATGAAAGCATGCCAAATTAAGATTGACCAGGGATAAAAAATCGTTGATGTTTCTTAAATCCTACTCAGTATAATTTCTCTTTAATACTCTGATAGTAATTGTTTTAGACATTTTTTCACTTATTGCCATCAAAAGCTAGCATTTAAACTTTGATTCTAAGTGGTATTCATAACTTCAGAGTTACTGTATCTGTCTATTGTCTTATAAGAATCACCTTGGGCAAGAGCCATCTGTATTCAACTTTTCATCAAAACACAAAGACAATCTTGGATGCTTCACATACAGTAAAATAAAGTTTATGTTATTGTACTGTTTAGCTGTTATTTTCATAACAAACCATACATTAATATGTATTAGAAGGGAGCAATTTAGTAAGGAAACAAGGATTCAGATAAATTGCCATAGGGAGTAACACATTTTTGAGCTACTGTGTGAGCTCATAGTATGGAGATTTGCCAATATGGCCTATTGAAGATTAAATACATTTTGAATTGCATCCCTTTTTCATCCCCCATAGATCAAAACAGTTATGTTATCA